CACCCGTGTATCAACGAGTGTTCTTTACAAAAGGTAGGAGTCAAAGGAGAGTCATATTAACTGGAGTTGGCGAGTAGGTAAGGGACCGAAGATCAATAAACGAATAATAAAAAGACAGTGGTATGTGAGAGTTATTAGGTGAGTGAGCATTAGTTAAAAGTGACCTTAGATTAATTAATTTTATACGTGTTAAATTACGTGATACGAGATGTTCTGAGAATGTAAATAGACAAGAAATTTAGAACAAGAAAGTAATATGCACACTTTTAGAATTTTGTGATGCTTTTAGAATTTTGTGAACACATATACTTGAACAAAAGTAAAATTTTAATTTCACAATAATTGATAATTAAAATTAAGAATGAAAAGTACCATTAATTACACAAGTAGTAAATTAGATAATAGCCCCAAATAGGAGTAAATAAATCTCAAAATGTAAAAGCAGGTCTATATCTTTTATATTCTTAAAATGAGAGTAATTTATGCGCTCTCTTCTTATTCTACCCAAAACCAGCAAGAAAATTATATACGTCGTCTATTTTTATAATGAAAACATAAATTATTAAAACGTATTTTACATATAACAGAAACATACAAAAATGAAATTAAAAGGAAAAGAAATAAAAATAATAAAAATAAGGGAAAACTGTCAAATAGGTACTCGAACTTTCATAAAAAGTCAATTAAGTCCTTCTATAGGAGACTCTGTCCGGTCGTCGCAATTTGGGGTGGTTCCCGGTGGAATTTTGTGATGAATTTTTTTGAGCATCTTATTCATCAAGTCTAGTTTACTCATACCAAATTTAAGTTAAAAATTTAATCGGGAGCGCATTCAAATTAATTCGAGAACGCAAAAATGCGCAGTTATCTTCAAGAATTAATTTGAATGTGTTCCCGATTGAATTTTTAGTTGAAATTTGGTATGAGTAAACTAGACTTGGTGAATAAGATGCTAAAAAAATTGCATAAAAAAATTCCACCGGGAACCGCCCCAAACCGCGACGGCCGGACAGAACCTCCTATAGAAGGACTTAATTGACTTTTTTATGAAAGTTCGAGGACCTATTTGACAGTTTTCCCTAAAAATAAAAAATAAATTAAAACAAAACAATGAATAAATAATCAATGATATTAAAAAATAATAAATAAAATCATTAAATTTAAAAGATTACGGGGGCCTCCGTTGTCTCACAGCACCTTCACCTCTCACTACAACAGAAAATGACATCTCTCGTAAAAATGTCACATTTCTCCGAAAATATCATGAAAACGAGATCATTATTCATTGAAAATGTTAAGTTTTGCTTTCAAAATATGATGACACCATTGACACGTGTTTTTGCAGGTTAGCATATTTTCGCCGATTGGATCTGATGGCCCTGGAAAGTGGCCGAGGCGACTATAGAGTTCGCCATATTTTTTATGTTTTTTATTTTTTATATTTTTATGTATTTTATTTTTTTATGTTTTATTGTTGTAAATAAAAACTCCTATTAAAACATGTTGAGGAGAGGATATGACGAACTATTTTGGAAATTCAAAACTTATGTGCATGGCATACTCTATTACTCTTATTCTACTTACTCACAAAATAACCAAATATAGCTTTTTTTCATCTTACAAAATGCTATTCCTTCTCTCCTTTTAATCTCCATATATATTTTTCATTTGGGTCGGTAGGTAAACAATTTATCTCTCTCATTTGGCTATGTTTGTATCTTACATAATGGTAGGAAAAGATTTTATCTAATTATTTTTTAACTTGCTACAGAAAATGCAAAGGATATATATGTAATATAATGGAATGTGATAATTATTTTCTAGCGTTTAGGCAAAAGTGTGGAAGGGGATACAAAAGTAGGAGTCAAAGGAGAACCATATTGATTGGAGTGTGCTAGTAGGTAAGGGCGTAAGATAATTAGTTGACTGGATCGGATAAATAGAAAATCGCATAATAAAAAGACAATTGTAGGTGAGGGTTATTAGGTAGTAGTCTTAGGGGGTGTTTGGATCTGATTCTCAAAAATGATTCTGCTCCTTCAGGGAGCAGAAGTAGAAGCTGGAGTGTTTGGGTGAAATTCCAGAAGCACTTCTGGTGCTCTAATTTACTCTCAGAATCAGTTTTTTTAGAAGTTGGGGGGTACCAACTTCTGAAAACTGATTCTGATTCTGCTTCTGCTTTAAAAAAGAAGCAGAAGCAGAATCAGTTCCAAACACCCCCTTAATTTAGGGTTACCTCGAATTAATTTTATACGAGTTAAGTAGGTCATATATTAAGGGGTAGAAATGTATCATGAGCCCATTTCCAAATAACAAAACAAGACACGATGCCAAATGTTTTGAAAATGTAAGTTAGCAAATAATTTAGAACGAAATAATAATATGTATGATTTTGGTGAACGTATATAGTAAATTGGTAATTAAATTTCAATTGGTAATTGAATAAAAAGTAAAATTTTAATTTCACAAACACTGATAAATAAATTTAAGAATAAAAGTATCCGGCCGTTAATTACACGAATAGCAAATTGGATAATATTTTCAAATGAGAATAATTTTGTTCACGCCTCAAAAGAGGGTGAAAAAAAGTCCGTCTGAAAATAGATTTAAGTTACTATATGCAATGGAACTATGGAAGGAAGGGGTTATGTTCACCCTTTTTGGGATGAACAAAGTCGAACTTGTCCCAAATAGGAGTAAATTACTCTCAAGATGTAAAAATGGGTTATATGCAATGGAACTATGGAAGGAAGGGGTTATATTCTCAAAAAGGGAGTAAGTTATACCCTCTCATCTTATTCTACCCTAAACAATAAGAAAATTATATATATTTTTTATTTATAATTAAACATAAAATATTAAAATACATTTTACGTATAAAAAACGTACTAAATAAAAATAAAGAATAAATAATCTAAAAAATTAAAATTTAATAAAAAAATCATAAATATAAAATATTATGGAGGCCTCCGCCGTCTCCCAGCACCGCCACCTTTCACTGTAAGAAAAATGCTATCTTGCATAAAAATGTCACACTTCTTTGAAAATGAGATTAGTATTCTTTGAAAATGTCAAGTTTTGCAAGATGTTAGTGAGCATTTGACCTATTTTATTAAGTATTAGGAGGCTAACAATGAGTATCACGATCTCTACTTCATATCTTCTAATTTTTTTCTTCTTATTTTTTCTTTTATAAACACTTATTAAATTATATCTTTAATCCACTTTATTAATTTCAATATGCGAGTCTTATGTAATATGATACTTTTGAAATATGCATTGATATGACATTTTAAAAATGAGCATAACATCAGTACCAAATGAGCATACATAACTTACAAAGTGCACATTGATATGAAAATCGTAAAATTTATTAGTTGAACATCACGATATCTTAATTGAGCATAAAATTTTTTGGCGAATGAAGGTGATGGCGATTGAAGTTGTGTTTTGTCTTTTTACCTTTTAATTTTTTATGTTTTATTAAAAATTTCTATTAAAGCATGTTAAAGATGAGTCAGGAAGAGTTATTTTAGGAATTTAAAATTTATTTACTCTTAGGTGTGTTTGGATCTACTTCTCAAAACAGTTTCTGTTGTTTCAAGGAGTAGAAACAAATATCGGATTGTTAGGTGAAAATGCCTAAATACTTCTAGGTGCTCCAAAATGCTCTTTGAAACAGTTTTAGAAGTTCTCGAAACCAATGTTTGAAAACTGATTCAAATTTTACCACTACTTTTAAAAAAGAAGCATAAGTGGAATCAATTCCATATACCCCTTAGTCTTTGAGTAATTAGTAAAAGAAAGTGGCGACATTTGTCCAGCGGAGGTGGTGACCTACATATTTTTAATATTTTTTAAAGTATTTTATTTAATTTTTTTAGTTTTTTTTTTCAAAATATTTTTTCTTTGTTTTTTTTCTATTTTTAGATCTTTTATTTTTTTTATTTAATTTAATTTCCCCCTATTTTTTTATTAATTTATAAAAAAAATTACGTTTTTATATGTTTTTATTATTAAATAAAACTATGATTTTTTGTTATTACCAAATAAATCTATTAGAAATTGTAGACTGAGGATAACATAAAAAGAAGAGACATATATTACTTCTATTTTGGGAATACTAGAAGTATTTAGGACTAGTTTAAATATGGTTTTAGTCCCTGCAAATATGACACATTTTGTTTTAGGTCCCTGCAAAATATTTTCTTTGATTTTCATCCCTGTAATATGTGCTATTTTGGTTTTAGTTCATCTGTAACTCCGAAACAACTCTACTTAGATTTTTAATTGTCGATTGCATAAATCTATTAGATACGTTTAAATTTATCATTTTATAATTTTTTGAGGCTAATATGAGAGTTAAAACAATATTAAAACTAATTGTTTGCATTTTTAAAATATGTATTAAAAACCTTTTAGAAAATGAAATTAAATATGTAGTACTTTTTAAATGACATGACAAAGAATTAAAGGATACATATTAGTCGGGATTGTTTCATTGTCAAACGGAGGTTGTTATCATTGGTCATGGACTAAAAAGAAAACTAACATAAATTTTAGGGATGAAAAACAAAGAAAATATTTTGCAGACACCTAAAACAAAGTGAGTTGTATTTACAGGGACTAAAAATATATTTAAACCTTAGGACTAATATCTGTATAAAATAGTACTCCCTCCGTCCCATAATTATCTTCATTCTTTCCTTTTTGGTCCATCCCAAATTTATCTCCTCTTTCCTTTTTTAGCAAAGGATTTGTGGTTCACAACCATTCTTACACATTTCTCTCTCCTCTGCACAACTCTCCATCAAACATTTCTCACTTTCTTAATCTCCGTGTCCAGTCAAAACCGAAGTTAATCCGAGGGAGTAGCAAGTATGTGAGTTTTTGACAAGCTCGAGGATCAAGTAGTAATAAGAAGATAACGACAGGGCAGAAGACTAAACGGGTCAATCCCCGCAACAAAATCCATAGTTTCTTACGCACCGTGTGACAGACAGACAGCGAAGAAACTTCCAACCGAAGATATACACCAATCCTATCCCTCCCTTCCTCACTCTCTCTCTGTAATTTGCGAGCCAGTGACCGAAAAGAAAAACGTCTGGTCTAGTGAGATAAAAAAACGTATGCTTTAGTGAGTGAAAGTGGGCCCCTTCAGATCCCAAGAACGCCCTTCTCCTTAAATAATACGGACTCGTAATCTGCTGAAAATCTATGCCATTTTCCTGCACCACCGCAGCGACAATCCCATACCCACACTCCCTCTCTGAGTGTGGATATTTCAGCAGCTGAGCTTCTTCCCGATCTGCAGTGGGATTTTCCAGTTCCTGCTGGGGGCTCAAGTCTGGGTCCTCGGTAATCTCTCAAATTCCTCCATTTTCTTCTTTTCTGGGATATACTTGAGTTTTTTGAGTGTTTGAGCCACTATGTGTTCATGTATAAAGATCAGCTTGATATGTGCATTCTTGAGCAGAGATAGATTCTCTTCCCTCTAGATGACTGCTAGCTTTGTATGTCGGGGGATTTTCGTTCTCTTTTTGTTTTTGCCTTTTGCTCTCCTTCCCCTTTTCTCTCAGGTCCGTGAGAGCCATTTCATTTTTCTTGAGTGTTTTTTACACTTTAAAGTGAGCCTTTTCCGACCCTTTTCTCCTTTTTTTCCCTCCAGAATATGCGGTTCTTTACTTTATCGAACACCCAGTGTTTTTATTTTACTCTACTTCTTCATTTTTCTGGAAAAGATGACCTCTTTCTTAAGTTCTAGTAATTTTGGTGTACTTATCAGTCCAGAATTTCTAATTGTATCTCAATTTCCTGTTTTTGTTTGTTTGTGTAGATAACAGCTTGAATTTGGCCCTCCAAGTGTGGTCCTTGCTTTGAAGCTTAAATTCTCTACTGTGTGTTTTGGAGTGAGCTAGTCAGGAATGCCACTCGAGGTTAAGTCTGCATTGACATATGACCTCAAATTCATGTTTCCTTTTACATGAGTGTTCTTTCATACTACGCACCTTTTTACTAAACTTCTTATCATAATAAAGCTGACGAAAAAGACCTCTATTGTTCTTTACACATTCATTAATAAGAACAAATCTTCAATGGTTTAGATGCTAGACTAATATGGTAAGTTTGCAACTCCCCCGTGAAATTAGTTAATAGACCATAGTGAACTGTGAAGGACAATTATTATTATACAATGTGGCAATTGGAATAAACAAATTTAGACTAGAGAATCTAATCCTCTCTCAGGTAGTTTTCAGGAAGTGTAAGTAAATAAATACGAGTACCATATACGCCTCACACTTAATCCTTCTTTCCGCTTATGTGCATATGTCCATTGTAATATGTTTAGTGGTTTGTTCAAAAAAGAGTAACTCAAAGTTTCTGTGCTTTTTCTTGGGGGTGCGGGGATTTAGGAAGCAAGAGGAAAAATGCCGTTTGCCAACGACGCACCACCAGGAAGTTACTGTCCAACTGATCTTAATGGAGGCATCCGTGGGTATTCATGGGCAGCAGCAGCAGCAAACAATGATATCTTACGGAATAGTGGACCCCATTTCAGTGCTTCATTGCATCCGGCTCCCTTGAACCATGATCGGGTTCCTACTGCAAAGGAAATTTGTAGACAGACGATGTTACAGCAGGAGTCCATATTCAAACATCAGGCAAGTCCATCCTTCTTGTAGATTCCACATTTGTATCTTTGGAGGAAATCAATTACTACCTCCGTCCCACTATGTTTGGGACAAGAGGGTGTGGCACAACATTTAAGAAAAAGTGGAATTGTGTGGTTGACATTGAATTGATAAAGTGTGAATAAATTAAGAATGAATTGTAACCACTCAAATATTACCAAATATGGTATGAGACAAACTTAATGGGACGGACGAAAAAAGTAAAACAGGACAAACTTAGGGGGACGGAGGGAGTATAAACTTATCTGGTATTTTATACAATATTATTTTATTTATACAATATTATACAATATTATACAATATTATTTTATTTTATACAATATCTTGTACAATATTATACAATATTTACAAAAAATACAATATTATTTTATATATAGTAGCATTAACAGCTTGCTCACTAGGGGCATAGCTCCCTTGCATGTAGAGATTTTCTTCTGCTTTTCTTCTTACAAAGCTCTATTACTTCTGTCCCTTTTAATCGCTCTACTTATCTTTTTGGTCCGTCGGCAAATTATTTTTCTCTCCTTTAAGGCTATATGTTTTGATCCTGGAAAATGCTACAGGAAGTTCTTATCTTATTTTTTGGATTATCTCCGGAAAATGCACAGGACAATATAGCGTGGTTCATATTTTTAGTTTTTAGCATGTGCTCAAACTGCATAGTATTTAAATACGAGTAGTATATATGCATAACATGAATCGATATAAATTTATTGAGTTTGAATCAATATTTTATCTTCCTCAACTTTTTCTTTCCTTCGAAATTTCTTCTTCTCAGGTCTATGAACTTCACCGGGTTTACAAAAGGCAAAAGGAGTTGATGGAGGAAGCCAGAAAGAGAGAACACTTTGGGAATAGTTTAAAACTATCTCTTGAATCAGAACCAGTGCCAGAAACCTCTATGGGCATGCACTGGCTTTCAAGGAATCTTTCGGGGGCTGGTCCCTCAATGCTAGCTTTTGGAGAACCTCCAAGGTTTACTACAGCTTCTGGGGATGAGCAGCGGCCATCTAATGTCAATCATGCAATTACAGAGGTGCAGCAGCATGTAGATGAAGAGAAGCTTGAGTCCTCCTCTTACCATGGAAAAGGCTCTTCTTTTTCAAGTTGCAGAAAGATGGATGTCTTGTTCGACTTGAATGAGCCTCCTGCTGAGCTAGATGATGAACCAGAATTCCCAGCTTCCTCTAGTCAACATGATCTCATGAATAGGAATGAAGATCCTTCTGAAATGGAAAAATCAAATGCAGACTGTATCGGCTCAAGTAAAAAAACATCGCCCGATATTACTGTTGGAGAAAGCCATACTGATTCTGGCATCATTAGTTCGTCTTCTGAGAAAAATGCGGAAAATGGGCTGCTACCGTGCAAGTCTCGTGCTGGTAGTGTACTAGTGTGCTATTTGATTTTTTTAAATGATATATCCCATGCACCTGCATTTTGGCTTTTACATATCATCTCTGGATGAGCCTCCGCTGCTTTTCAAAATTATCACAAATTATATGGTTTGGGAAACAAGCGCTTCTGTTTCCCCAATTGTCTGATATATGTAAACTGTGAACTGTTTATATCTTTGTAAATTTAGTCTTTCAAGAGCTATACTTTAGATACACTTGGTCCCTTCCTGGCTTCCTTTAAATGTTAATAAGCTTTATGAGGGGTATTCTCAGCATTTTTTGTTGTTAAGAGCGCCCCATAAACCGTAACATTGAACAATAATGTTAACGGCATAGACTAGTTGCATAGTAATTACTTCATATGTTTTACTAATGACTATTCACATTATATTTATAACCGGATCTTTATTTATTATCTTGCATTTTCAGTGAAACATGGAAGCCACCTGAAAACTTATGCCAAAGCTTCCTGTAGTTTGACACCCAGAAAGCCACAAAAAGAAAGGTCAATTTCTGATTTGGAAATGTCTGACAAAAATCAAACTGTAGCCCGCATTGATGTTTCCCCATCTGTTCAAGCACCTGAAGATAAAGAGAAAGAACATTTCAAAGCTCCACTTAGCCCAGAGAACCAGGAGTCTTGTCCACCTAGAAATGATTCACCCGAGGCCCGATTGGACACATCGACTGGCTTATCAAACGATGACAGGCTCGCTGCTGATACACTGGTTTTGATTATGTCATCTCGGGTGGAACGACCTATTGGCTGCCTTGATTGGTTTGCTGGAATTGCATCCACTTTAGCGAAGAGATCAAAGTGGGTGAAACCAGAGGGGCGGGCCAAGGAGGGAGGGAGGAGAAGAGCTAAGAGCAGCAACCATGGGCAAGGGATGAAAAGTTCAAAAGGTTTGAAGCAGCAGCAGCAGCCTGGTTGTAAGAAGAAGCACATGTGGTGTTTTAAAGAAGTATGGGGAAGGAAAAAGAAGCGAACACCTCGATATGCCATAAGAAGGATTGTCCCCCTTTCACCTTAGTTGGTTGGTTAAAATAGTATAGCAAATATAGCTGATTGCTTATATAGCTGATTGCCTGCCTCAAATGGCTATGTAACTAACTAGGTGAAGGGTTTACCACTGGTTCTCAGATGGGTTTGTAGACAGGATAGAACAGTGAAGCTTCTTTGCTCCCAAATATTATTGTAAAACTAGGTCTGCCTTGCTGTGTGCATACATTGTGCAGGGGTTGTGCAGTAATATATTTCTTGTTTTATCATCTTGAAATTTTGGCCTTTGATTATATTTCCATTTTCGTAATAAATAAATAAATAAATAGTAATTACCCTAAATAAGTAAGTAGGACTAAATGAAAACTTAATTGCACAAATAGGACCAAAGCCTAAATCATTTACAAATATGATTAAACATTAATTTTCTACTTTAAATATCTCTAAGACCATTTGTAGTGGTGGACAGGTAAAAAATGGACCCCGTCCATATGAAAACAATGTTTAGACTCATATTTCCCTGTATCCTAGTACTGTCAAGAAAATACGGTCATCACATTTTTTTATATCAAATTAGTAAAACATTAATTAAATTATTATAAGTAATGTTTTCCTTTTAATTTTTCCCTGAATAATTATGAAATAAAAAATACACATTTCAATGTAAAAAGAAATAAATATCATTAATTTTTTAACGTTGTTCGGTTAACAAAAATGAACTTAGTTCAAGTAAAGTTTAATTATGGAATATTCAGTTATTTGTGAAGGCTCCATGAATTAAAAGTTTGTGTTTCGTGTTTCTTCGAGCTCAAAAATACTCCAACATTTAAAACTTCTGATTTTTTTTCCCTAGTTTATACATTACATAATAGTGTCATGTGAAAGTGTTAAGACCCGGGGTTCCATCCTAAAAGGTCAACCTATTAGGAGGAGTAGCCCGGAGCTTAATATAACACTCTAGTGCTTCTCAATTTTCCGGTGTGGGACATTTAACACCCCTCCTCACGACCAGACACTTCGTCTGGATCGTGTCGTCATTCATTTTTTCATCGGTTCGTCAATTTTTTTTTATCGTGTCGTCATTTTTCATAAGGGGCCTCACACCATGGATCGATTTGGTTCTGATACCATGTTAAGACCCGGGGTTCCATCCTAAAAGGTCAACCTGTTAGGAGGAGTAGCCCGGAGCTTAATATAGCACTCTAGTGCTTCTCAATTTTCCGGTGTGGGACATTTAACAGAAAGATCATGAAAATTCAAGAATTTGGATATATATTTTAAAAAATTTGGAGAAAAAATAAAAAAGTTTTAAAAGTTTAAAAAACGTTTGGGATTATAATGATGCATAGTTGACGTCATCACTACTTCCTTTCACAAGCCTTCGGCTTCCTCCTGCTTTGTTTTTCCCCTGTCAATCCACTTTCCATTTATACCCTCCATCCTATTTCCCATTTTTAATACCCCATTTAGTCTACCACTACATTATATTAGAAGTCCAAAAATTTAATCTTTAAAATTTTGGACTCCTAATACTACACGGCCAAAAATGGTCTAAGGGTAATTCATAATGTTTTAATTCATAATAAAATATTTTAACTCATAATGAAATCATAAAAAATAAAAAAAATCTTCAAAATATAATTAAAATTACTAAACTATTTTAAAATAAAAATTTCAAAATTTCTTTTTTCTTTTTGAAAATAATAATAAAAAACAATAAAACATAGTATAAATATATAAAAAATGGATGCCCTTCCCGCCGCCTCTATCGCTTCCTAGCACCCCCCCGATCGGTGAATAAAATGTCATTTTATGTAAAAATATCATTTTTTCTGAAAATGTCAAGGAAATAGTATTATTACTCTTTGATAATGCATGTTGGCAGATATCCCAAATGATTGAAGTTGGTGGTGGCAGAGGCGCCGGTGTATCTTTTAACATTTTTTTTAATTTTTTTAATTTATAATTTTTTATTTTTTGATTTATAAATTTTATTTTTATAATTTTTATTTTTTTAATTTTATTAAATAGTTATTTCAGTCCAAAAAGCTACAAGAGTGTATTTGTCCATGTCCTACTTAGGGAATATAAAACAATGTAGTCTAGTTTGTTATTTTTAGCCTCCTCCTCCTCCTAAATATGAAAATGGAATTGTTCAAACACTCGAAATTCTAAGTTTTATTATGTTTCTCCTTTTAAGAAGACCCTCATAATTTTTAGTTGAAAATTGTGATTTATGTTAATTGAGCATCAATGTGCTTGTATTCGACATCATTCCTATTTTGTTGAGTACTAAGAGTCTAATATTGAGCATTAGGCTACCTGTTTCATATCATCTAATTCATTTTATTTTCATTATTTTTTCTTTTATAAAAATTTCTTAAACTATATCTATAGACAACTCTTGTGAATTTCACAACATGCAAATCTAATTAATTTAATATTACACTTTTGAAATATGCATTGATATAATAAAATCGCAATATCTGATAGTACAGTTGAGCATAAAAACATTTTCATTGAGCCACATGCATCCTCTGTTGATCATTCGAACTCTGCAATTGAGTATAAAAATTTCAAAAACTATTGAGTATCAAAACATCTTCATTGAGTATCATGTTTTCTACTATCGATTATTGAGACTGTGTGATCAAACATTTCTATTGATCCTTGGGACTTTGTGTAACACCCCCTACCCGGTCCGGAAGGCTCGGGCAAGGAGCGCTACCCGCAGTGCCGGAGCACCAAAGCGCAAACTAACTTTTCATTATCATTTTTGACTATTCTAGAAATACTTATTATTTTAGAAGAAAAAAACTAATGATAGTAACTTTAGGAAATATAAATTTTATAAAACATTCATAATTGCGGAAGCATCCATATTTTACACATAACACTTAAAAAGTTAAGTGTTGCTATCACATTCTACTAACATGCTGACTATATATGAATGACACAGACTAAAAATAACATATCACTAAATGCAAGTGTGGCTCTGTGCTGATTGGCAGGTTGCTCCCAAATGCTTTCCTCCTTAAACTCTGTCTCGGACTATGTACCTACGCGAAGGACAAAAATCCAACGCGCTAAGCAAATCTTGCTTAGTGGTGTTCATTCTTTCTCACACATTATGAATAACAAATATCACATAATAAATTAACAATTAAAATAACTTCAAATATAAATTGTATTGAAAATAGAAATATCACCGTAATGATCTGTACCTGTTAACTTATGTATCTCACAAAAATAAACTTTGCTTCAAATTAGTAATTTAAAACTGTACGATGTCGTTTCATTCGAAATAGCTCGTTCAATAATATTTCATTCTATTCTAAACACGTATTTCAACATATTACAGAATGTATAACATTATAACTTTCAAAATATACTTTTCTTATTTGCGTAGAAGCATATAAAATCATAACTTTAGTCAACATTAGTTTATCCTGTTGTCTCCCGTATTCAATTGAATATAATGTTACATTCTCTTATCGTCCTTCATCTTTATATTCATATATATTTTACTTCGTACTTCGTTTTTCTTATTTTCTATTTTCACATTTTCCTTTCATTCCATTCCATCTGCCTCCATTTGTCACTTCATGTCACAGTCTAAATTCACATGAGCAATATCATAGCTCGTTGTGATTCAATATTTCATTCAACATTCTTCGTGTTCCACTTTAACTTCCAATTGCTCAATTTTCATCTTCTGCTCATTGTCAAACTCTCTATTTTCATTTTCACACTTTTATTAAGTTTCTGGAATTCTACTCCTTGATTTAATGGACTGGATAAACGGGACGTTCTCATCTTTGGTACTGTCCACTCGGTGGCTACGGACCATCAGAGAACTATTTTGGCACGGACCACTCGGTGGCTCTGGCCGGGGTTCGTTTGGGTACTGTCCACTCGGTGGCTACGGACCCGTAAACGAACATTTTGGGTGCTGTCCACTCGGTGGCTACGGACCCGTATAGAAGCGCGCGTGTGTCAAATATCAAGATTTGGGTGCTGTCCACTCGGTGGCTACGGACCCGAAATCATTGATCAAATTCTACGGCCGTGTTTTTATCCCTATTGGCATGCCAACCTATCCAAATCCAGAAACAAGGTTTCAAATTCCATTTATTTTAGTTATTCAATAAAATACTTGGTACTATTTCTTATAAGTTCGTATAATCATTTTACTGGCATATTTCATTTCAAACTGATTTCCTTATCATATCATAATGTCCAGGAGTTGAATGTCCAGAACATGCTTATTTCCTTTGTGTACGTGTTTTAATGTCCATCACTATACAAGTGTACGTTTTTTTGGCCTCGTTTTAACTATAGTGAATCACACTTCAATCTTTATTCTTTTATTAGTAAATCATAACTTTGGATATATAACTTAATTAATGTACGTACATGATAAATTTTGAAAATTTCTTAATCCTTCTACTGATTTCGAATTCTAGCTTGTTATAATCATAATAATAATCATTTTGTGTATATATCACGTACGTATATTATTCCTTATTTAAAAAAATTGATTTCCTTTATTATATACTACGTACAAAATATAATGGTCATATAACGAAGCTTCCTCACCATGCCATAAAAAAATACACCTTTAATTTCTTCAGTATATCTTTATTCACTTGTTTTTGCTATTATAAGTAGTCAATATTAGTTTGATAAATAATATCATAAAATAAGAAATTATCTTCTCATAATAATATGATTAAAAATATACATTTCTTTTCAATTATAACTATACATCAAGCCACAGCTTATTTAACGGGATAGTTAAATGACATATCAAGACACCACAATATAATTATGAAATAGATTTAATTTAAGGAGATAAACAAGCATAAGATATAACAGTAAAATGTTAGTGTTGGTCCAAAATAGGACGCTCGTAGGCTTTTAGGAAAGTTACGTAAGAACACTCAAGCAGAAATCAGGAAAGTAATACGAGTAAGGAAAGTAGCTAGAGAGTTTGGTAGCCGGAAATAGCATGTCTATTATTTGAATCGGACTTGCCTTTTATAGGCGATTACAAATGGTAACTGCCGAATAATAATGACTAAATTAATTACAATATTAATACGGAATTAAATACATGATTAATGGTGCATTGATTGTTGGTTGTTACGCTTCTTGGCTGGCTGGCTGGCGGGTCGGCCTGGCTGGCGGTTCGGACGCTTGAGCTTCTCGGGCGGCAGGCTTCCGTCGGGCTGGAAGGCAGGCTCCTAGCTAGGCCGCAAGGCAGGCTTCCGGTTGGCCGGCAGGCAGGCCGTCTTGGGCTTCCACTCCCTAACGGGCCCGGTTGGTTGGGTCGACTTGATATCTGGATCGCTGGGTCCACTAGCTGGGCTTGCCTGACGAGACGACAGTCCTGGGCTTGGGCCTGCTTATCCAAGTTTGGGGCCAAGTCTGATTAGGCGTTGGGCCTAGTCCTATAATCCCATCACGAGTCCCCCACTCCCTTAGTGGAGTAGTAGACTCGGCTAAGAGGGAGTAGTCCAAGTCAGCTGTCAATTAAAAAATACTCACATACCAGGGAGCAATACTTGTGGATTCTGTCAATCTCACAATTTATGGAAATTTTCCAATTTTAAGTAAAGCTCTCAGCTTAAGAAGGCTTTAAATTAATTCCCTCACATCCTAGCATTCCAACAGTCAGCTTTCTTCCAGACTCCAGAATACAGGTCAGCCCCCGAAAATTCCTGAGATTCATCATAATTATTTTTTATGATTATTTTCGGACCTTATTTTTTTTTTTCTCCTCTTTCCTTTTCTTTTCTTTCCTTCTCTTTTCTTTCCTTTTCTTTTCTTTCCTTCTCTTTTCTTTCCTTTTCTTTTCTTTCCTTTCTTTTCTTCTCTTTCCTTTCTTTTCCTTCTCTCTCTCCTGGTCCCTGCACGCGTGCGTCCGCCTCCCGTCGACCCAGCGCCGCAGCCAACCCCAGCGCTGACCGCCGCCTGACCACCCCTTCAATTTCAGTCGGCCGGCGGTTGCCCTGTACTTCCCACCGGCGGACAGCTCCGTCTTTGAAGTACGGCGGCAGTCCGACGCGGCTCTGTGGCGGCCGGCGTCGACGGTGAATCCTGGAACATGGCGGCTGCCTTCCCCAACGACCGGCATCTCCCCAGGCCGTGGGTTCGTTCCAGAGGCCTCGTGGCTGTGTCCCCCACCGGCTGCGGCAGTCCGGTGCGGCTCAGCGGCTCAGCGGCTCCATGGCGGCCGGCGTCGACGGTCATCCTGCAGCATGGCGGCTGCCTTCCCCAACGACCAGCATCTCCCCAGGCTGGGGGTTCGTTCCAGAGGCCTTGTGGCTGGGTCCCCCACCGGCCGGCATCCCCGTCACACGGCCATGCGGCCACCGCCGCGCGTCTTGTTTTGAGCGCGCTGGGTTGGACCTGAGTTCTAGTAACTTGGGATCTCCGATTGCATGGCGGTCGCCCGGGTGTTCTCCTTCCTCCAAGCTGGCTTGGCAGCGAGGAAAACTATGCATGAGTGGGGTCCAACCCTCCCCGAGAGTTCGGACTTGGGTTCCCCAGCGCTTGGCTCCTCCTCGGCCAGATAGTGCCGGTCGGGGACCGGCGGTCGGCATTCTGCCGGTGAGCCTCGCTTGGGAAGCTGACGGGAGTCCTATCGCTAACCGGCTTCACCCCTCGTACAGGTGCTGAAGTGGGAGTGAGCCCCCTGTTGGCGCACTCCAAGTTGACAGGCGGGCTTGACGCCTCGTATATGCTAACTTTCTTTTGTTTTGTTTCTGATGTGTAGGTGTGTTCCATCTCGTTTGACCATGCAACGCGGAGGGTGCTCTTCTCATCAAAGAAATGGTCTAGGCTCTCACGCAGCAATGCAAGTTGAAGTTCAGCCCCTCCCCAAGCCATCAGACTCGGGACTGTCGGCCATCACTGAAGGCAAGCATGGGGCGGCCATGAAACCCATTCGGGCCAGCCGTGGCCCCAGACCACGTATGCATGTGGGGAAAGTTACCGGACAGCAGGCTGAGATTCTCCCAGGGTTAGCCCCAACTAAGCGGGTCACCGTTTTCGAGGGCCGACTCCTCAACGTTCCGGACAGAGCGCGCACCCAACCCGTGGACGTGTCAGATTCTGATGATGACTCTGGCGCTTGGGAAGACCCGAATTCTTGGTGGGGCCTCGACAATAGCGGGATAGTGAACCTCCCCCCTTGCGTCCAAGACGAGGACCTTGCCGTGGCACGCAGTCTGATCGGTGCCGAGTGTTCATCGAAAATCCCGGAGGCTACTGAAGTACTGAGTGATCCCCCGATCCCTTATTTTGGGGTCCATATCCGCTCTCTGGAGTTAGGGATGGTTGTGCCTCTGCATCCTTTTCTGGTTCGATTTCTTCACTTCCTGGGTGTGGCACCGGGCCAACTGGCTCCGGCGGCTCACATGTTCGTGGCAGCTTTCGTGGCGCGGTGCGAGGACGTGGGCCTCACTCCCACAATCGATTTGTTTTTTAGCTGCTTCCAGTGGCGCGCCTCCAGCTTTTTTGCCTCAGTCTCCCAGAGGCCAGTGAGCAAGCTATTCCGGTCGGGTTACCCTGACTCAGGTAGCCGATGGAAGAAGAGGTGGATCTGGGTGTCTGACCCTACCCTTCCATCACCTCCTTTCCAGTGGGGTGAGCGGCTCCGGAAGTGTGATCGGGTCGCCCTTTCCCCTGATCTCAAGTCATCCATCGAGGTGTTGTCCGCAGGCGGCCCCCGCTCCATCAGCTCATACTTAGGTGATCGTCACTCCCTCAGTTTAGGTTTGGCTATTTTGTATTTCACCTTACTCATCCTCACATTTTCTTCCGCAGATGTGCCCGATAGGCCTGAGAAACATATCGCCGGTGCCGAATCCGATGATGATGACGAAGAAGCCCAGCCATTCATCGCTCGTGTAGCTCCCACGGCCACCAATGAAAAAGAGCATGGAGCTCCCCCAAACCTTGTAGCACAGATTCCGAGGAGGGTGAGGGTCACCTTTGGGCCTCAGCCTGCCGCACCAGCGAAGAAGAAACAGAAGAGGGATATTGTTGATTTACTGGTCGAATTGGATGAGTCTGATGACGAGGAGGTGGAGCCTCACTTAGCCACTGCTCCTGTGGCCCCCCAGGTCGCTGCGGGGACAGGGCACGGAGCCCCCCCGGGCCGAGAGGGGCATGTTTTGGAAGGGGCGACTGTCACCCCGGAATTCCAATCTGCTGGGCAGGCGCATGAAGATGCTGGTGAGAAGATGGCTGAGCGGGTTAGATGCGACACTCAGCACACAGTTGCTTACACATTCCCATCTCCGGGTGCCTCGATCATGCACGAGGGCTTCCCGGTTGTGGACTATGCCTCAGCGATCTTACCGCCGGGTGACCTTGCACGTATGACCTCACAGGGGTTTCAGCCTCTCCTGGAGGATTCCATTCGGACCCATGTTGATGTGAGTGGCCGATCACATCTCTGGCATACTCTGTTTTATCCCTCGATCCCATCATATTTTGTTTGTTTTGTTTTGCAGGGACTTGCTAAGACCATTGGGGCACTTTGGGCAGCCAACCATTCTCAGGCAAAGCTCCAGCGTGAGGTTGATGAAGTTAGAGCCGCCCTACAGGCTAGGGAGAAAGCTTTCTCCGAGTTGCAACTTTTGCATGCAAGAGAGCGTGAAGAAGTGGCCAAGAAAGCGATTCTCGAGTTCAAGGCCTCCGACGAATTCCAGAAAACCATATCTGACAGGGTGGAAGCAAAGGAATCTGACTTAGTAAATAAATGGCTGAAGACTGACGAGGGGGAGTACTGGCATGCTCGTGAAGTTCTGTACGCCTTTCAGTGTGGCAAATACTTGACGCAGCGTAAATTGTATGATCAGTTGGAGGGTCTCGGCCCTGACTTCTATCCATCCGTGCTAGGCCTTCCTGTCCGCATGAAGAAACCTGAGGCTGCAATAGCCCTCTTGCCCCCAGGAGTCTACCGCCAGGAGGAGGAGTCCGGTAACTCGAACGAATGGTGCTGGTTCTTTCCAAGACCTTCGGAGGACATGGTCCCCCTTGCATCCGGTCAGCAGGAGGGAGCTCAAGAGTCCGGCCAAGACTTGGTTGCCATGTTAGATGAGATTCCCGAGGCCAATGGCAATGGGCATGTCCTGCCATGACTTTGTATTTTGCATTTTCCTTGTCTTCCACTCGTACACGTCGTGTTTTGACTGAATGTTTAATTAATTCACATATTTCAAACACATGTGTTTCTTTTCATATACTTTGCATTGCGAGTACTTAAGCAATTTTATTCGGGGATCCGGCTTCTCTATCTTCCCGGGGAGCGATTAGGCTGGCGTGGCCAAGCCTATCCGCGCCCCCTGGTCATATAGAAGTGATCTGTTCGCAACAAGTATGCGACTTGTTCGGCTAGCGAGGTCGGACATTGAACATTCGAGGAGGACACTTAGGTCGGCACCCCGATATTCATGACCTGGGGTCAGTCCTACTATCACTTTGACCTGTCCATTTCGCCCGGACTTGGGGAATAATCTGGTTACTCCCGCGGGGTAAGCCAAACAACAGGGGCGGACCCTGCATGATCCACCAAAACGGACCCGCACCGCCAACTCGGAGATGGCGAGAGTGCGAGCTGCTTGGCCAGCGACGTCGGGTTGCGAGCACTCAAAAAGGGGGGACCCAGAGGTCGGCACCTTGGGCGCTCCCGACCCGGGGATCGGCCCTACTATCGCCTCGACCGTCGCGGTTAGCTCTTTACTTTAGAAAATTGCTTGGATTCTTGAAAATCGATGGGCCATTTTCAGTTCAAGAGCCTGACCGAGGTCGGCCAAACACCGAGGGGGGGCATAGTATCTTTTTTTTTTTTTTCTTTTTTTTCTTTTTTTTTTTTTTTTTTTGCCGCCGCCGCCCTTAATTGCTAAGTGAGGTCGGACCTCTTTTGAATACAAAATATCGCTAGCAAAGTATATTGAATTCATAATGTGGGCGGACCACATGAAGAATTACAAATTGTAATCATGTGCCCAGAGCACATGAGTTCATAAAGAAAAGGTGACACTTCAGTTCTCTACTGATAAAACTTCATCAGGTGCTCGACGTTCCAGACACGGTCTACCAGCCGGCCTGTTGTCGTCTTCAATTTGTATGTCCCGGGTCCGACCACAGCATCAATCACGTATGGGCCTTCCCACTTGATGGAAAGTTTGCCTCCCTCTGCCGGCTTGCTGGCCTTCCTACGCCTCAAGACGTAGTCGCCAACGTCAAAACTCCGGGGTTGGGCTCGGCTGTCCTGGTACGCCTTGACTTGGCGTCGATAGTTTTCTGCTTTGACGAAGGCCCGGTCCCTCCTTTCCTCAATGAGGTGGAGCTCGGCTCGGAGCCTCTCCTCATTGCTAGCTGGTTCGAACTCTTCCATTCGTCGGCTGGGGACTACGGCCTCGAACGGTGCCCTTGCCTCAAAGCCATAACACAAGGCGAAGGGGGTCTCTCCGGTTGCCTTCCTTGGGGTTGTTCTGAAGGTCCAGAGTATATTGTTCAACTCTTCCACCCAGGCAGTCCCGAGGGCCTCCAACTTCTTTTGCAACCCATCGACGATCGTCCGGTTGGTGTTCTCCACCTGTCCATTTGCCTGAGGGTAGCAAACCGCAACCCGGCTGGATTCTACGCCCCACTCGGCGCAGAAATGCCGAAAGGCTTCGCAGTCAAACTGCCTTCCGTTGTCGGAGATTATTTGGAGGGGAACTCCGAACCGGCAAAAAATATTCTTCCATATGAATTTCTTACACTGGAGATGTGTGATGCTGGCGAGCGGCTCAGCCTCGACCCACTTCGTAAAGTAGTCCACCGCGACGATTACAAACTTCCGGTTTCCCGACCCGGTTGGCAAGGGACCGACCAGGTCGACGCCCCATCTCGTGAATGGGAGGGCGGTGCTGATCGGTGTGTACATCGTCGCTGGCCGACCGGGGCTCTTCTGGAACTTCTGACATGTCTCACACCTCCTCGCATAATCGGCACAGTCTCGCATTATCGTCGGCCAGAAGTAACCCTGGAGAACAACCTTCCTGGCAATTGTGCATGCCCCCTGGTGGGCGGAGCACACGCCCCCATGGAGTTCGGAGACGATCATGTCCGCTTCATGCGGGCGCAAACACTTTAGCAACGTCCCATTGTAGGACCTCTTGTATAGCTTCCCGTCCAAGACGACGTAGCCCGGAGCTCGTCGGCGGACTAGCTTTGCTTCATCCTCTCTATCAGGCAACGTCCCATCGGCTATGTAACGTAGGAGGTCATCCACCCAGCACCAGTCGGCCGGTTGTAGGGGGAGGACGTTGACGGACGGTGAGGCCGCTATGCTTGAAGTTGTCATCTCCTCAATGCGGGCAATTCTCGAAATGTGTTCGGGCAACCCCTGGGATAGCTTCGAGAGGAGATCAGCGTCCGAGTTTTGGTTTCTCGGGACGCAAACCAATTCTGCCTGCTTGAACAGCCCGAGCAATTCCCGGACCGCATCTCGGTACTTCGTCATCCTTTCTTCCTTCGCTTCGAATTCACCCTTAACCTGGGAAACGACCAACCGAGAGTCATATCTGACCGTTATCCATTCTGCCCCCATGGCGGCCGCTAGCCGCAGTCCGGACAATAGGGCCTCGTACTCCACCTCATTGTTGGAGACTTTGAAAAGATAACGGTAGGCATAGTAGGCCCGGAATCCCTCAGGGGAGATGAGGACGATTCCGCCCCCACATCCTTTTGCTCCGGCCGACCCGTCTGTTGCTAAGGTCCACCACTGCTCATTACTCTCCTGTTGTTTCTCTGTCACCTCTCGGGCTGTGCACTCCACGATGAAATCGGCCAAAGCTTGGCCCTTGATGGACGTCCGAGGCTGGAAGTCGACCTCGTACTGACTGAGGAGCATCGACCACTTCACCACCCGCGCTGTGCCGGGCGCCCTCAGGGCTGCCCCTAGAGGTTGTTCCGACAGGATTCGGATTGGATGCGCCTGGAAGTAGTGTGTCAACTTCTTCGCGGTGATGTAAGCGGCATAGATCGTCTTTTCGAGCGGGGTGTACCGGAGTTCGGCATTCTGGAGGGTTTTGCTTACATAGTAGACGGGACGTTGAGTGCCTTCCTCTTCACGAACCAGCACGGAGCTGATCGCGCCTTGAGAAACCCCAAGGTACAGGATCAACGTCTCCCCCCTTTCCGGCTTGCTGAGTAGAGGCTCGGAGAGGAGGTATTTCTTCAAGTCTTCGAAGGCTCGCTGGCACTCATCAGTCCAGACGAAACCATTTTGCTTCTTTAGGATCTGGAAGAAAGGTAATGATTTCTCAGCGGACTTCGACATGAAGCGCCCGAGGGCTGCTAGCCGACCGGTGAGAATCTGGACTTCTTTTACCGATCTCGGGGGCTCCATGTCAAGTATCGCCCTTACCTTCTCGGGATTTGGCTCAATCCCTCTTCGTGTGACCATGTATCCCAGGAACTTGCCTCCCTGGACAGCAAAGGTACACTTCTTTGGGTTCAGGCGTAGTCGCACTGCCTTCATGATCCCGAAAATCTCTGCCAAGTCATCTGCGTGGTCGGCCGCTCGGGTGCTCTTGACGATCATATCGTCGACGTATGCTTCCATGTTCCTTCCGAGCACCTTCCGGAATACTTTGGCCACCATCCTCGTGTACGTTGCCCCGGAATTCTTTAGCCCGAAGGCCATGACAAGATAGCAAAAAATTCCCTCCGGGGTAACGAACGAGGTCTTCTCCGCGTCATCCTCATGCATAAAAATCTGGTGGTATCCTCGAAAGGCGTCCATGAAGCTAAGGAGCTCACACCCGGCCGTCCCATCAACTAGTTGGTCGATGTTAGGTAACGGGAACGGATCCATTGGACACGCCTTATTGAGGTCGGTGTAGTCGACACACATCCTCCAGGTCGGTGGCTTCGGGGCCAGGACCACGTTCGCCAGCCACACCGGGTATAGGACTTCCCGGATGTGTCCGATACTCAGGAGCATGCTGACCTCCTTCTTCACGAATTCCTTCCTCTCGATGGAGAGATGTCTTCTCTTCTGCTGAACGGGTTTCGCCGATGGGTCGACCGCCAACCGGTGGACAGCGATGCCTCGGTCGAGTCCGGGCATGTCCTCCGGCCCCCACGCAAAGACAACGCTGAAAAGGATCAAGACTCGGATGATTTTTTCCCTCAAGCCGGCCGGGAGGCCGGTTCCAATCTTGACCCTCCGTTCTGGCTTCTCGGGGTCAACCTGAATTTCCTCCACTTCCGAGGTGGGTTCAGCACGGAGCTGGCCCTCCTCATACTTCATGGCTTTGTTGTTGATAGTGTGGACTCTCAAGTCCTTTTGGCCGATTTGTTTGCAAGCTCTTAGGTAGCAGCTCCTAGCCATCCGCTGGTCTCCCCTAGCAACTCCGACACCATTCTGAGTGGGGAACTTCATGCACAGGTGCTCCTGGGATATCACACACCTCAGGTCCTCCAGGGCCGGCCTCCCCATGATGATTTTATGCGGACAAGTTAGGCGTACGACTATGAATTCGACGTTTAACTTAGACACGCAGGGCTCGGAGCCCACCACCACAGGGAGAACTACGCTTCCTTCCGACTCAATGGAGTCCCCGGTGAATCCTGAGAGTGGGGTCCTTACCGGGATCAAGTCCTTCCTGTCCAGGCCGAGCCCCTGGAAGGTATCATAGTACATGATGTTAACGGAGCTCCCATTATCTACCAGGACTCGGTGGACGATGGTGTCGTTGATCTCGATCTTGATCATCAAGGCGTCCCTGTGCGGTGGCGGCATCGGCGGCAAATCTGCATCGGTGAAGAAGATGGGATCCCTCTTCACCCTCTTATCGACAGGAACTCTGGTTATTTCCCCAACGTACAAGGCTCGTGCCCATTGTTTCCGCTCTCCCGAGGTATCCCCTCCTTGGGGTCCCCCGAAGATGTAGGAACATCGATGGTGTTTACGGGAGCCATCCCCTAGGTCGGCCTCATCATCCTCGGAAAGGGCGCCAAGCTCCCGCTTCTTGGCGGGTTGCTTCTCCTTTGATGTGGTAGCTTGGTCAGACCGCTGCCACGTTAGGCTCCTCTTTTGTGGGATGTTTCCTTGCTTGCCAACAAACTGGCCCAGATACCCTCTCTGGATAAGCTCTTCAATTTGCCGTCGGAGAATGACACATTCATCTGTATCATGTCCTGCTCTCCGATGGAATCGACAATACTGGTCGTGGTTGCGTTTAGCGGTCACCACATCGCATTCCTCCGGGAAGTCGATTAAACCCTGCTCCTCCGCGTAGTCGAGGATGGCCCCGACTGGCTGGGCAAGTGGAGATAATTGTCTGACGGGCAGGAGCGGTCCGCTCGGGACGTCCGCCTTGCCCTTACCTTTGTTCTTGTTACCTTTGTACTTGTTTTTGGCGCCGGTCTTGCCGTCAGCTTTCTCGGCACCAGAACCAGCTTCCTTCTTCTTCTCTTCCTTCCCACCTTCTTCCTCATCTCTCTTCTTTTGCACGGCGTCCTCCGCCTCGGCTTGGCGATCGGCACGACCGAGCGCTTCTTCGTACGTGGTGGGGGGACTTCTGACAAAATCTTTGTAAAGCTCACCAGACCGGATGGAGTTTGTGAGCATGGCCACCCCGGTCTTGTCATCAAGGCCCTGGACCTTGATTGACTCAGCCCTCCACCTCGCTAAGAAGGCGGACAATGATTCCTTCTTCCCCTGTTTTAGGCCGAACAGGTGGCTGAAGTTCCTCTTGACGTCTCGGGAGCTCGCAAACCTTAAGAGAAAGCGCTGAGCCAACTCGCGAAAGTTCATGATACTCCCATCAGGCAGAGAGTCGTACCACTCACGAGCTGGGCCGTCCAAGGTGGCAGAGAAACCGCGACATCGAATGGCATCCTCATACCCCATCATCACCATGTAGGAGAGGTATCGAGATACATGATGTTGGGGGTCAGAGGCGCCCTTGTATGTTTCGATGGTGAAAGGCTTGTAGCCCCTTGGCAACGGCGCATCCATGACCGCCCGGGTGAAAGGTTCGGGTATCCGGAGGTCGGCCGTGTAGGGCTCCCCCCCCGACGACCCTTCTCCTCAACTCGTCAAGGCGTTGTCGTAGATCTTCCACCTCGGCCGGCGGTGGGTTCCCTCGGACAGCCCTAGCACGGGGCTGGGCATGTCCAGCAGCACCTCCAAGTCGCCTGTGTGCATGAGGTCGGGTCCCCACGTTTTGCCTTTCCATGGAGCCAGTCCGGCTGCTCGCTCGGTGAGAGTGGCGAGAGGACTCGCCTCCTTCCATCTGCATTGAGCGCCCCTGCTGGGCGCCCCTCCCCGCCTGCTGATGGGGTCGGCTGAGCTGCTGGGAGACTTCCTCCCTCCTGTTTTGGTCGGATCCAGAACGTCGCTCGTCACGCCGCCTGGAGGACACCTCCACATCTGCCGGCGTCTGTTGGCGGGCAGGCTCATCCACGTTTCCGCCAGACACCATCTGTTGGAAACCTTGAGTCAAGGCCCCCAGAACCCGAGTCGCCTCCTGTAGGGCCTCCACCCCCGGCATTGAGTCGAACCGGGTCCATGCGCGGAGCATGACGTCGGCCTCCCCCCCGCCGGCTGCGGGCCGAGCGCTCACCTTGGGTGTGGTTGAGCGTCACCCTCAGGTCGCCGTGGCCTGACAATCGGTTCCGAAGGTCGCCTTGGGGCGCCGCCCCCCTGCCCTGTCCATGGTTGTCGAGGGCACGCTGGCGGCCTGACCCGGTGGATTCCTCGGTGTGGACTGAGACATGGTCACGTCGGGACGAGATTCCGGCCATCTTTCTGTGCGATTCCTGCTCAAGTGATTGTGAGAGACAATAGAGGCTCTCAATGAAAGCACCAATGTTGGTCCAAAATAGGACGCTCGTAGGCTTTTAGGAAAGCTACGTAAGAACACTCAAGCAGAAATCAGGAAAGTAATACGAGTAAGGAAAGTAGCTAGAGAGTTTGGTAGCCGGAAATAGCATGTCTATTATTTGAATCGGACTTGCCTTTTATAGGCGATTACAAATGGTAACTGCCGAATAATAATGACTAAATTAATTACAATATTAATACGGAATTAAATACATGATTAATGGTGCATTGATTGTTGGCTGTTACGCTTCTTGGCTGGCTGGCTGGCGGTTCGGTCGCTTGAGCTTCTCGGGCGGCAGGCTTCCGTCGGACTGGAAGGCAGGCTCCTAGCTAGGCCGCAAGGCAGGCTTCCGGTTGGCCGGCAGGCAGGCCGTCTTGGGCTTCCACTCCCTAACGGGCCCGGTTGGTTGGGTCGACTTGATATCTGGATCGCTGGGTCCACTAGCTGGGCTTGCCTGACGAGACGACAGTCCTGGGCTTGGGCCTGCTTATCCAAGTTTGGGGCCAAGTCTGATTAGGCGTTGGGCCTAGTCCTATAATCCCATCAGTTAGATTATAATCATATAATTAATTTAGGAGAAGGAATGAACACAGACCTTAAATTTTAGGCAAGATTTTTACTTCTCATTTTCCTCCTATCCTTCCTCTCTCGATCTCTCCATTCTTCCTCACGACTCACTACTTTATTTTTCACTCCATGTTTTCTCTTTTCTAGTTCATACACGAATGATCTGTTCTGCCGATCGCTCCTTATAAGTTGATGGTCTACTATGGCTGGAGCTTACAATATATATATACTACGTAGTATATTATTGGGAGTGGTTTGGGCAGCTTTGTACGTGGCTAGCATGCATGTGTTTCAAGTCAAAGCTAGGCTGTCATCTTAATTAATATTTCATTTTGTATTTGTGTGGTGGGATGTCCAAGTGTGGTGCATGCATTTCTGAGGCTTTTTGGTCTCTTTCGTATGATATGAGCAGTTGAGTGTATTGAGCAGGCCTAAATTAAAGTTGCTGCCAAGTTTCCAGGTTTTGTTTTATTTTACAAATACCTTGGCATCTCATGCATGGTTCTAGAGAGCTCCTAGATGCAGCAGCCTTGCCACATCACTTCTCTTCTATTACTATTATTATTTATTTATATTTATATTGACTTTTGCGTTTGCATTTGTTTAATCTAGTTATTTCCATATAATATTATTTGGCTTAGTAAATTATCATATTTCATAACTTTTGCTATTTAACCATACTTTATTTAAACAAGGTTGACTTAGTCTGGTTCAATTGTTCTATTTTATTTCTACCGTCGTAGTTTCTTGTAGTAGGATTTAAATAGCTAAAACACGTACCAAAAATATCAATGTTTGATTAATGATTTTAAATCTTTATTATTTACTTTCACTTTCATGCTATAAGTAAACAGTGTAAATTTTGAGGATGTTACACTTTGCATTGAGCAACAAGTATCTTCATTTAGTATTGTGTTCTTTACAATTGAGCACTGAGATTGTGTGTTCAAGCTCCAACTGATTATCGCGAGTTGCAATCTGGTGGTCGTGTGAGTTTCATTGGCTAGGAGGAGCCAGCGTGCCACGAGTAGGAGTGTTTGGTGTAAGGCGAGTGTTTGACCATCTCGGTGCGAACAACGAATCGTCCTTATGTGTGTGAGCGGCGAGGCGTCCATCTGGCCGGGTACGAGCCACGAGTCTCCGTCCATGTCATTGAGGTAGTGAGCATGAAGCGCAGTGACAATAAAAACTCAACTATACTGTGTACATGGTACAACTGGTTGTACGATATAAATATACTGATGGCACAGACAGACAATTCACCTATCACACCCAGACGGCCGCCTCACTGCTTGCAGCCAAAAGGATGACTCATTGTTCGCACCTAGATGGCCAAACGCTCGCCTGGCACCAGACAGTCCTGCTCACGGCTTGCTAACTCCTCCTAGCTAACGAAACTCAACGACCACCGAATGTCAGATTGCAGCTCTTGATTACCAACTTGCGAGTAATATGTGTCTCTTCTTCCTATTCTACACCCTTCCTATAATTTCTAATTGATTTTTTTATTAATAATAAAATCATAGTTTTATTTATAAAAAATATAAAAATGATAAAAATATTTAGAAATTAATAATAAAACCGAGAAAGCATAAAATTAAATAGAATAAAAATTAAAAAAAAACATAAAATGTCTAATAAAATAAATACCTAAAAAATATTAAAAATATGTAGGCCACTACCACCATGTTCTCCAACTCCAGCACAACCAGCTCCGATCGCCGGAAGAAAATGACATCTTAGGTAAAAATGTCATATTCCTGTGAAAATATCATGAAAATGACATTTTTACTCTTTGAAAATATCCAACTTTCTTTTCGAAAATGCTATCATGAAAACATTTTTCAGCTTGACAGTTTTTTCTGACGATATGAGGCGGTTGTTCTGGAAGGTGGCTGAGGTGGTGGTGGAGGCCTATATATTCTTTTATTTACGTTTTACGTTTTTATTTTTTAGGAAAAATTGATAAGAATAATCTCACCTTTCACTGGTCTTCTCATAATAATCTCACCTTTACGTAATCCCAGAATAATCTCACATTTGCACTTCAATCTTCTTTCATTGGACCCTTTCATTGAAAATCTTATACTCCGTATAAATAATATCACCTTTGTAGGTCATCAATATGTCAGGATCCAATGAAAGAAGATGAGGTGCAAATATGCGATATGTGGGATTATTCTTGTTAATTTTAATGTTTTATCATTATTATTTAAAATTGAGAATTTAAACTGTGCTTTTGTTATTAAAATTTTGTTTTTATTATTTAGTGAGATAAATCTGCCTTAAATTATTTTTCTTCTGAGGTGCTAGATAATTCTATTACGGAGTAATAGTGTAATACTTGTTGGCCCAAGTAATTTGTGTTGATCATGAAATCATCGCTGAATCTACTCCAACGACTTCCGTCTGCCGGTGATCGCTCGTCTGCAATCCTCTCAGGCTTCCAACCATTATTTAGCCACCCATCCTTCACGAAACTTCTCGACGCTTCTCTGCCATCTCGCGGGTTTGGTCCATCCGCCATTCTCTTTACCCAGTTTGGTCATCTCATTAATGTGGAGACTTGCAACTGCATTATCAGAAGATATACGGATTCAGGAAAGCACTTGTATTCGGTTTTTGTTTACACCCAAATGCACAGACTCGACATTCGGCCTGATAACTCGACTTTCCCAAGCGTCCTTAAGTCAGTAGCTCAGTTGTGCTACGTGGGGTTCGGCCAATCAGTGCATTGTAGTGTAATGAAAATGGGGTTTCGTTCTGATATTTATGCAAACACCTCTCTGGTTTACATGCACTGTGGGTTCGGACAGTGCAAGGAAGCTCGTAGGATATTCGATGAAATGCCTGAAAGAAATACGGTTTCATGGAATTCGTTAATCTCTGGTTATGCACATATGGGGAAGTTCAGGGAGGCAATTGATGTGTTTCAAGAATTGCTGGGGAGTGATGTTCGCCCTGGTGAGGTGACTATGTCCAGTGTTTTGTCTGCTTGTGCTCATTTGGGAGCTTTGGATCAAGGGATGTTCATTCATGATTACATAAAAAACAATGGTTTGATGCTGAATGTTTATGTTGGCACTGCACTTATTGACATGTACGCTAAATGTGGTGATATTGATGCGGCTGAGAAGGTTTTTCTGTCCATGCCGGACAAAAATGTGCATACATGGAATGTTATGATATCAGGATATGCCATGAATGGAAGAGGCGAGGTTGGACTGCAATCTTTCAATAGGATGATCATGGAAAATTTCAAGCCTGATGGGTTGACTTTCTTGGGAGCTTTGTGTGCTTGTTGTCGCCAAGGATTCGTTGAGGAAGGTAGGACACTTTTTGCAAGAATGAGGAATGAGTTTGGGTTGGAACCAACTATTGAACATTATGGGTGTATGGTTGATCTACTTGGTCGTGGTGGCTTTTTGGATGAAGCTGTGGAGATGATCCATTTTATGAGTCTGCAGCCAGACCCTGCTATATGGAGGGCTTTGCTCTTTGCTTGCAGATTTCATGGACATGCAGAAATTGGCGAGTTTGCAATCCAAAAGCTTCTTGCGCTAGAACCATGGAATGCAGAAAATTATGTGTTGCTGTCAAATGCTTATGTTCATGATAAGAAGTGGGCCGAAGTTGGAGAAGTAAGGAAATTAATGGATAGCAAAGGAATCAGAAAGGTCCCTGGTTGGAGTTCAATTGAAATTGATAGTGCAATGTATGTATTTCAGGCTTCAGATTCAATTGGTCCAGGATATCAGAATGTTCGCAATATGTTGGCAGACATGAAAGAAAAGTTGAAATTACTTGGCTATGAGGCAGATACAGGAATGGTTTTATATGATGTTGAGGAAGAGGAGAAGGAACATAATCTGATACACCATAGTGAGAAACTCGCATTAGCATTTGGGCTTTTGAATTCATCGAGTAATACCTTAAGGATAATGAAAAATTTAAGGATTTGCCATGACTGCCATCACTTCTTTAAGCTTGTCTCAGCAGTTTATAGAAGGAATATTATCGTCAGAGATATATATCTCTTTCACCATTTTAGTGGAGGTATTTGTTCTTGCAAAGATTATTGGTAGCACCCAATTATTATGGTCCCTTTGTAGTCTATCTGGGAGAAATTAGCTGTTGTAACAGTGTCTGGGTCTGCAAAGCTCAAGCAAAGATCTTCTACCTATGTTAACAGAACTAGCACATTAGTTTTTCCCTCACTGTTATGAAGTGGCACTTTGCATGGTTGAGTAGATTTTGAATTTGGAAATTGCTAGGGAACCATACCTGGACTTGAGGTTGTTACAATTGGTCGCGAAGTGACAAGTTTGGCTCTGCTGAGAATTCCGAAAGAGATCATTAACCGGTTGTGCCGAGGTGGATATGAACTCAGTCTTTTCCATCTCAATTTACAAGGACTGTTCATATTATTGTTGACAAAACTTTTCCTATGGCTGATGTGCTCGTTCAAGGATTAAGTATATAATTTATGGTATGCAACTTTGAGTTGGGACTACTCAACCACTCAAAAAATTTTCCTGACATTCATGACTACTTTAGCTCTTTTGTTTATATGAGTCTACAAGAACATTATTCTTCTGGTGGGTCAACACATCATCCCACAACACCAGGTGTTTATAATGCGCTGAGCAACTGTTTCCACATAAAGTGAAGATACATTTCCATTATATGCATTTCACCTATCACATATGCTTACAAGTTTGGCATACTTTGATCTCCATTTCTGTATTTAATTAGTGAAACTGGTGAAACAAAAAAGGTATACAATGGTGGTGGGAATTTCGATTTCTAAAAAATGGCACTATTAGAGTATCTTTCTAAGGAAAAAGAACAAGTGCACACAATAACAATCAAAAGGAATGTAAATGAAATAATTAAGATGATATTGATATACTCCGTATATAATAGGAAAAAATGTTATGGTTAATGATCATCACAAATCGATCGTTGTGACTTATGAGGCCTCTATTTTTTTGCCCACTGTGGTCCTTACTCTATAGTGCATGTCACTTATGCTTGGTAACCATATGCGGGAAGCAGTTACACATAAAGCATTTTCACCAGAAACGTTTAAGTTGAAAAGTGGCATCATAAGCAGTGTCATCATCTTATTTATTGAATAAAAAACATTAGTTGGTGGTTGGAACTAGTTTTACTCTAATATATATTCTAATTTCTGTGTAGTTGATGAGGGCGACCAGTTTTTTTAAGCTTATTGACAGATTATGGAAACTCCACATTAGTTGCTTATTTACAGCCAAAAATCAGATTTTCTTTTTCCCATGTCTTCACTTTTTGGTTTGTACACTTGGGAAGATGCCTCATGCAAAACAAACTTAAGTCTTGATAAATAGAAGGTAGATAGCATAGATTGTTTCATCTTGATGATGTGTCTTTTGTTACATGCTGAGAAAAACACTTAAGTCTAGTGGTAGCTATCAACCAATTAAATAAATTAGTCCTGCATAAACTGAATGGAGAAGTGTTGCATATTCTGTTCAATGTATTCACCCAGTGAAAGCCTGAGAGTCAACCTGAGTGAAGTGAGGACTCTGATAAGCTACTTGAAGCATGTCATGGTCATCGTATACATCCCTATACGTCTCCAGGTTGATTTCTGAGTCTATCAGAGCTGATATGCAAAGCTCCTTTCTCCATTCTTCTAGATGTGGGAATCCAACATAATCTGCATATTTATCGCAGTACTGCAAAAGACATAATTAGGAGCTGCAGGTACTATCATGATTTGTGCTGATTTTACAATAGGAATTGTATCCTTGAAGACATTACATCAACACTATATCAACTCATCACCATCTCACGGTATTTTTATGCTGGTGAAAATAACCTATTATAATGTTTTTATTTTAATACTCCCTCCGTTCTCTAATACATGTCCCTCTTTCCATTTTGGGATGTTCTCCGATACATGTCTCTCTTTCCCTTTTTAGAAAGTTTTTTCAATAAATATACCTATATACCCCCATTCTCTTTCCTACTTTTTCATTCTCTTTCCTACTTTTTCCTTTACACACAACCCACTACACCTTTTATCTTACCCCTATTAATTCCTTCTTAAAACTTGTGCCAAAGGCTATACTCCCATCTATTAAAGAACGGAGAGAGTATTTCATGTCATTGTTACTTGGTGAGAAGGGGAGCCTTAGCACACCGGTTATAGTGTTGTTGTGTGACCTGTGTTACCTAGAGGTCATTGGTGCCACTGTCAAAATAGCAAGGGAAGACTTGGCCTTGGTAGGAAGTCCATTTGGCATAAAACTTTGCCACTGTCTGTATAGTTTCATCTTATCTTAATAAACTAATTGACAGCATAAATTTAATACCACTGACCCCTGATAATGATGGTGAATTAGATTCCTTTTTATCGAGAACTGATAAAGAAAGTAGCAGTGTAAATTTGTAATAGTGAAAGAATAGGTAACTATGTAGGGACAGTGAAAAGATACAAATATCCAATGACCATATGAGAAAGGTAATTATTTACGTCAAAGTCCGCAAGGTCGTGGGTATTATGCTTAGGAATGCCAGCAAGATCCCTAGACTTATAAAACTCCTTTATGGACCGCATCATTTCCTCCCGTGATGGCAGTGTCCTTTTTCCAGATAAAAGCTGCGCTATCCATATTGCTTGAGACTCGAAGAAAGGGAACCCTATGAGCTATTTAACAAAGTCACAGAAAAAAACAATGACTTTCCTTGAATTTGTATAATTGTATATGGAAGTGGTTTTCAAATCGCTTATAAATATCAAGTGATTATTCTTGTGCCTTTGGCAAAACTTTGCAGGGAAATTAGGGGATATACCATACCTTTCTTGGGATACCAATGAAGGACAGAGAAGGAGATAGTGAAGGAGGAAATGTGTGCTCATATAGGGGTCCCACTCTGTCATTGTCCACTACAACCATGCCTTTGGTGTCAAGAAATGGGAAGGAGTAGGAGTACCTGTTAGAAGCATAGAAAAACCCACATGGATAGCTCATTATTCCCTGCTCCCAAAAAGGTTGAATTTACACAGTTTGTGCTTCTTAAGACCTAAATAAAATTGTTAATTTTCCCAAGGAGACTTCATAGTTATCCTAATCAATCACACTAGGTTTTAGTTTTTTTGTAGTTTTTTTAAGAATTGTTCTCATCTGCCACTCGAGTACCTACTAGGGTAATTTAGGGTGGCCATTGGGATTTGATCATTTGTGGGGAAGGGAAGGGAAACGAGTTGCATCACAACTTTTTCTGCAATACTTATTGTAGGTGTACTGTGTATACTTGATCAAGAATTTGTCATTTATTGATCTTTAATTCCTTCTATAAAAGACATTAAGCATTTAATATGAGCATTTATACCCTGTACAGTATAAGATGGTATCTGCAATGGTGGAACTGCCGTCCATGAACACAACCTGCCCATCTTCTTGCAATGACTCTATCTGCACTTTCCATTAGAATACATATATTAACTCCAAAAATTTATCAGGAAAGTGACATTATCTTCCATATTCAGAAGCAATTTTAACTTAGCATGTAGTATCCTATATAATACGGATTACGGAGTATATACACACACTATTAACCTGAGGGTGAATGTGAAAGTTAGCATGTTTGGAGATGACTTTTGACAAGCCTTCCGGAACGTTACGAGGATACTTGGCGCTCAAATGAACTTCCTTTGCTACATTTACAAGCTCCATGGAAATATCCTGCCCACTCAGTGAACTCCCAACTACCACAACCACCTAAAGAACATAAAAAATGTAGATGAATTGTAAAATTTGTTTTGAAATTGGGCAACTTCTATAGTACGTTAAGGTATTATACTTTTGCCGGCATGACAATTTAGTATATTAACATTAGGTAATTTAAACATAGTGAAATGGTTACTAGGACCAACAATCAGTCATTTTTTGTACGACACTGTAACCTCACTTATTCGGAATGTTCTAAAAGGCATTGAAAGATGAGGCCCTATGCACAAAGAAAAATGTGAAAAAGGCGGTCAACTCGAGAGTTGACCACCAAAGGCGCAAGTCTGGACGCAAAAGGTGAAGCCTAGATGTGGAAAATCAGATTCTTTAGATATATTATTTTCCCCAGTGAGAAAGTTCGATTAAATTATAAAAAATCACTTATACTAATATGTAACATTGTTACCTATAAAATTTAATATGATAGTAAGTAGTAATAAAAAGGGGAAAATAATTAAAATACCCCAAACTTTGAAGAGGTGTGAGTTAAACACCCCAAACTTTTATATGTAATTTAAATACCTTAAACTTTATTTAAAAAGTTATTTTAACACCATGATCATGTATTATTTCTTTCAAAATATAAATTTATAGTGTTAAATGCATAATTTAAAATAGCAAATTGAAAACATTAGAATTATATATAGTGGGGGGTAATACTCCATACTATTTATTCTACAATGGAAGTTTAGAATGTTAATTGTAGAATGCTAAAAATTATCAAAAATTATGAAATAAACACAAAAAATTAATATTTTTGAAAGAAATAATACATGACCATATGCAAGTTTGGGGTGCTTATCTCACGCCCCATCAAAGTTTGGGGTATTTTAATTATTTCCCCCTAATAAAAATGAGTATGCATTATCATGTTTCTAAATTCTTTATACTTTTAAAAGGCATATATTCTTTGAAAAAAGTACGGAGTAATATTATGCTCAAACTTCTATAATTTTTTGGGACACTCATTCCTTCTTTTTCATATATATCATTATAAAATATTTTCTCTGTCTGAAAATAGTTACACATTTTATTGTTGGGATGTCCCATAACAGGTTATGTTTCATTTTTTGAAAAATGATCTTACATACTCCGTACGTACTAGTAATAACTTACTCGTCCCTTTATTTAAATCTACAACTTTATCGTTCCAACTTTACTTACTTTTGTATTGATACAGTACTAGGAGAGGGTTGTGTAGGCATTTTATCTCATTTTATTTATCTCTGTGCCAAGAAGTTTTGTCACTATAAATTTGAGATGGAAGTAGAGGTAATTGTTAATAAAAATCTAATACGGCTTTTAAAGTTCTTATTCTTGCATAGGAAACCACACCATTCACCTTATTAAACGGAGTAATATATAAAAGAACTAAGTACTTTTTCAAAAACAAAGTTACATTTTCCCTTCTCTTAAGAGTAAAAAATATGGAAATTTCCCAAAATAAGAGTTAAACCGTTCTAAAATTCCTAGAGTATATAGTATGTCTTTATTCTTAAAATATGAGTAATTACTGCCAAGTTTGAAAAATAATGTCATGTTTAGTCTGATGATGCCAAAAGTAGTTACTACGGAGTACTATTTAGTCTAGGGAATAAAAATACAGTAATCCTATATATTTTGAAATTTACATTTTTGCTTTAAAAAACACATACCGCTGTATCGCATGATGCAATATAATAAAGCATGCCAGGGTAATCTCCTTGATTGTATTCTAAAGAAGCATATAGAAAATAGTACGGAGCTTTTAAGTCATGTATAAATAAATTGATAAGCTTGCTTTAAGTAATTACAACCAAGAACAGTGAAGTTCACTTTTGGCGACATGATTACTACTCACTTACTCAGTAAGTGCTAGGAAATGATTAAGGAAAGACTTGAAGGAATGTGGATGAAACTACCCCACCCCCATGCATGCATGAAGATCGAGTATGAGGGTTGGGGATTGCTCTGCTTCTATCCATATTCACTAAATCCTTCCCCTAAACATTCCCGACCCTACAGATCTTATCATTATCCCTGCCTTTGCTTTGTTATTTTGTATACAAATTGTGAAACATGCTATAATTGTTGTATGGAGGCATCTGTCAGTTACCTCATTGCGATACCGCTCTGGCATTCTGTAAATATGGCTATGCATCTGCTTTCTTCTCCACGCATTCATCCCTTTGATACAAAACGGACAAATAAATAAATAAGTAGACATGTGGATTATTAGTACCTGAGTGTGCATTTGGTTATTTCCTTCTTTGGTTTGAGATGGCATGAACTTGGAAAATGTTTTTGATAATACTGCTATATGATATACTGTCTTCTATTTTGGCTACTTTTGATCCTCCCCTGACTCCATTTATATGACTAATTTCTTTGTAAATGAAGAGACAAAAGAAACAGATAGATTCAGAAACCTTTGATCCGAGGCAGCCTGGGCTGGGAATAATGACCAGAAGCCACCACCACAGCATCAAAGACTTCTTCCACAACCTTCTCATCACCACCCTTCTTCTCTTTGCTCTTCACAGTCCACCTCATGTCGCCCCCGATCCCGTTATCATCATTCATTATCCCAACGTACTCGACCCTAGTGTTGAACCTTATCATCTCTCTCACCTTGAAAAACTCACAAAAATCACCTAAATAAGCGAGGAGCTCCTCATGGCCTGGAAATCTCCTTTGATCTCTCCCCTTTTTGGTCAAGAAAGGGAAGTCAGAAAACCCCATAATTTCTCTTGGAGATATGAGCCTTAGCGATGCATAAATGCTACTATGGACCTTCAAGAATCTAGACCTTCCTAAGGGATCTTCCCCTTCAACTTGAGCATTGTACAGCCATTGCCCTCCAATATCATGACATTGTTCAAAAACCAACACATTGTGCCCTTCCTTTTTTAGCTCTCTCGCTGCCACCAGTCCTGAGGGTCCGGCACCAATAACACATACACTCTTGGACACTATCCTCTCGGAAACCATGGCAAATTAGTAAGCTGTAGCTAATTTAAGTGTCTCAAAGTGATGAGAAAGTGGGGATATGCTAATCTTGTTTGTTTATGAGATCAGAGCATGGAATGAAAAAATTTGTGGGAGGGGTTGTGGGATTTTATAGTTGAAGATGCTGGACTGCAGCATCGGCAACCCTTCATTAAGACGTACACGTGGGTGCGTACCGTACGCACCCTCTGCCCGAAACCTTACCCGGTCAGACGCCTCGGACAGCAGCGCCGGAACATGTGTGAAGTGTGATTTCACGCTTTACCGCATGCGGGTCTTCACTCCTTACAAAGCTTGGGCACCCATTGGGCCCCATCACAATAGCAATAGCTGGCTTATAAAAAGCCTTCAATATTGCGTAAGATTTGTGGTGTGTTAGAAAACTGACATTAGCATGCAAGTTTAACCAGATAAAGATCTCGAGTTTAAACAAATCACCAGAGAAACCGCCAAATGCATGAAAATAATGATAATAATAATAATAATATAATAATAATAATTAGAATAGATTAAAAATAAATAATCAGAAAGTAAAGAAAAACTTATTGCAGGATCGCCCGTAAATTAAAAAAAGACACACCTTGATGAAAGATAGTCGCCGTATTCCGATCCCTATTCGGATGGGACTGACTAACTCGCATGGATATGTTCATCTTGTTTGTTTATGAGAGCATGTAATGAAAAGATTTGTGGGAGGGGTTGTGCGATTTTATAGCTGAAGATGTTGGTACATTTTTGTGCGTACCATACGCACCCGGTACCCAAAACCCAACCTAGCTGGATGCCCCGGACGGTAGCACCGGCACGCGTGCGAAGTGTAATTTCACGTTTTACCGCAAGTGAGTCCTCCCTCCTTACAAAACTTGGGTACTCCTTGGCCCCCACCCCAATATTAATAGTTGGCTGACGACACTAAAGTCGTTGTATGCCTCAAAATAATATCAATACTTGCACTAATACATAGTACATTGTAGTAAGGATTGTATCCACAGAGAAATAAATATCTTTCTTTTATGAAATTGTAACAAGGGGGGCTTAAAGATTGTTTTGAACTTAATAATATTTAAACACTACGATGAACGACTTATGTGATTTAAATTAATAGAGATGGAGACTTGGTTTTGTTTATGTCCACTTAGTGAAATGTTCGTCAATCCCGATTATATCTTTAACTATCTTTCTTTCGAACACTCAGTCGTAGAGTATTTCCAATTCATCGAGGGTAGTTATTAATAATGAGACGCGTTCATTAATAAAACTTACTATCAAGTCAATATAGAACACACACATTATATTGATTCGATAGATCATAGTAGTATTAAAACTTTACTTGAAATCAACTGAGATTGACAACCTCAACACAAGCGACTTATTGGTTTAATCGATACAATTAATCCCTCTTAGATTATTAACCATGAGACACATGCATTAATAATCTAAGGTTACTACCGTTGAAATGACTGAGCAAATAACAAGTGTATTCGTCGATCGATTCTAGTAATAATTAATATATGAAAACAAAACTACTTGATCCTTCAAGTAATGCTCAAATATTAATAAGAGATTTAAATATGAATGTAATTAATATTCAAGAAAAGATTAAAGAAAATAACTCACAACTTACAAAACACAGGCTTCAATGTAACAAAACCAAGATAGAGGGGGTTACCTCCTTATTTGGAGACTAAACATGATAGAAAAATATAAAGAAAACATGTGTCTAAACTGAACTTAAAAGTATATGGTAATTGGTGAATTTATTGGGAAGGAAAAGAGACGTATTTATATGTGTTTGGAGGTGGCAGAGCTTAGTACCCGATCAGGTACCAAAAGCAGTTTCACGAGAGGTGTAAAATCGCATCATGCCCGACGGGGTATGCCAGTCTACCCGATCGGGTATGAGACAAATATTTATAAAAAATATCCTGCATGATGTTTTGTTCTCCGGATTTGATTTAGACACAAGAATTCAGTCAATACCAGACTGGGTATTGCATATACTCGACTGGGTACATGAACAAATTTCCAAATCTTCATTTCGTCTTGTCCCTTTGCACAATCATTGGTATATTGGGATCCATTCTTGATCCTTTGGATAACTTTGACCTGTTTTAAGCTCAAAATACTTCTAATCTCAACAAATTGCAAATATCTAGGAAACTAAAATATTGCACCAAAAGTGTGTAATTTCCATAACAACAAACATCAAAAACTAAATAGAAGTGCAAACATACAAATGAAAATTACAACAATATCAACTCTCCCATGTTTAGTTTCTTTACTCGTCCTCGAGTAAAGTCAAATCTTCAACTAAGTTCAAATCCTTAGTCCAAAACAAAAGAAACAAGAAAAAGGCCACCAAGGATGTCAAATGAGTTTATATTGAGAGTTTAACTCATACATAACAAACATCATTTCTCTTGGCTTTTTTCTGTCTTCTATGTTCATCTTTTTGCTTCATTTTCTCTTCTCCTTCTTGTCATCAATCAATGTCCTACAAAAACATTTTTTTCTCTTTTTACTCATTTTACCTATGAGCCTTTTCAGGTTTTCATTCTAGCTTCTCTTTTATTTTTTCCTTCTCCCCGACTCACTCATTATTTTTAGCCCTTGTTGCTTAGGTTGCCCATTTTTTTGGGTTTTCAACCTAACCAACATTTCTTTTCTTCTACTCATTTCTTAAGTGAAGAAAATAGTGCAAGTTACAAATACAAAATAATGCAAGGTAGAAAAGGAAATTGTACATACAAATGAGTAGTCCCCCCTACCTAGTTTGAGGTACTATCTCTAGTCCCTGCCATCATCTTCGCTTTGGTAACCACCATCGTACTTGCCACCCCATGCCTCCATTGCCACCTTCGAAGCTCGAACCACCAAAGTTGTCCCATTGAGTGAGATCATACCAAGAGTGAGGTGGTGGGGCAGTGGTCATGGATGAGAAGAAACCTTGTTGATCAAAATAAGCATACACAAGGCCATATGCCCTATGTTTCTTCTATCTGACAACAATCGACTTGATGTTGCTCCTCCATCCTTAGGAATCCCATCCTTTGTTCTTCCCGCAAGTGGCCAACATCCTCTCGGAGGTGGTTGATGTGCCCATCCATTGTTGTGTAGTTAAGGTTGAATGCGTTGAACCTGACAAGGACGACTTGTTGCCCCCGCATGATTTGTTGAAAGTAGTCGGGTTGCAGGCAATTTTGGGGAGGATCGGGTATGTCTTGGGGGCAGGGGCGGAGCCAGGGCACTGGGCCGGTACAAAGAATATTTTTAGAAAAAAATTTACACGAATTTTTTTACCTTAAAAATTAAGTCACTTTTAAAATTTGGGGTGGACCATGGCCTAGGTTGGCCCACTCCTAGCTCCGCCCATGCTTGGGGGAATGGGGGCTTCTTCTTCATTTGATGGGACATTGGCTTGATAGTGGGGTGAGATGACATTTGAGAGACAATAGTGGGACACCTCAATATTCACTCTGTACGTTAAACCCAACCTGTGGCAGGTTTTGTGAAGGTAGGGGTAGTAGCGTACATGCTTTAGATGTATGTGCCATTTATAAATTTGATTTGATTTTTAAATTTTTAAAGATACTTAACTTATACATAGTATATAATTAATATATATACATATACACGACTGAGAAATTTATAGGCTTTTTGGGAGTAGTGGATCCTTGTCCATCCCTCATGACTGACCCGACTTGATCAATAGTTTTGTGTATAATTAGTTTTAATTATAATTAACTTTAGATGTCTGTATGAATGTATGATTAATTTTAATAGTGTGGGTGAGCGCAATATGTAATTGTCTAAATGCGCGCAAAGGAATGATGCATCTCGGGCAACAAATTTACAAATAATTTAAAAAAATCAAAAGATACTAAAAAGGCTAGTAAGAGATAAATAAAGATGATTTTGTAATCGTAATAAACAATATTGAGTCAACACTAAATCAAAAGAAATGAGAATTACATAGATATGTACTCCAAAAAATTTAGAGCTCGTTTGGTGGCCCCTTTTTCGGCTTATCAGGTTTATCAGTCAGTTTTTCGATCACCAAACACGTAACTTTTGATTTCGCGCGCTAAATTTTGTAATAAGCATAAAAATTAAGGTTGAAGTTAATTTTCTGGCTGTATTGGCTGAAGTTACAGTAGAGAATCATTTTAGCTATTTTTTCGTTTAATTTTTTATTTAATTTATTAATAAAAAATATTTTAAATATAATTTTTTCATGAATCAGCATAATGAGCCAATACAGCCACTCCAGCGAGAACTTCATAAATTTCAACAGAATTAGTCAATTCAGCCAATTTTAATGTTACCAAACGGGCTATTAAATTATCTCAATTTGTACAGAGTAATAACCAAGAAAATCAATTAATGTTCAATTCAAATTATTCCCAATCTGATCACGAATTCAGGCTTTCAGCTATATTGATTTTCAGAACATAGTACGTGGTAATTTTTGAGACAATTTGTCTTGGGGTACACAAGATGTACACATATTGTACATCATATAAAACCCCCAAAAAATTACCATTCCATTTACCCCCACCTTCTCTCCTATCTTTCTTTCCCTCCCACTCCCCCTTCCCGTTGCTTATTTTCGCACGCAAACAAACGCAGCAAAAAACTACTGTTCACTGAAGCTTCTTCTTCCTCCTGTTCTCTTCACATCTCGACAGAGGAAGTATAATTACACTTGAGGAATGGATTATACTCTTGAGGAGATGGCCTTCATCAGTAGTTATGACATGGCCGATTTTATGGGAGCTAAAGTAGACGAAGGCGGCTCCGTGTTTGAACCTCCGGCGACACAAGAAGGTGAGCCCTGTACGAAAGACGTCGGCGACGAAGAGGAAAAGCAAATTCTGGAGGTTGATGATGAAGAAGGTACGTGGAACGTAATGTCTGTGAGGACAGGCATTTCGTGTTTTCAGTGCCTGTAGAACTGAATGACATTGTATTTGTATACTCTAACATTCATTAATGGCACTCCATGATTTTGAAGTAAAAGTGTTGTATTCGTATTGTATTTTTGATGTAGTAAATGTTGATTTTTTTTTTTTGAAGAAATGAAATTTTATTAAAGAACGAGCAAAAGAGTACAACGAACAAAAGGGAAAGGAAAACGGAAATACAAAAGGGAGAATAAAAAGAAAAAGCCCAACCCGAAGTACACGTAAAACACGCCCTCTAGAAGATGAGTGTATTTTCCCAAGTTATGAAAACTCCACATGTGATTGGGATCTCGTCCTCATTGGATGTGATCGCTGATGCTTTTTTCTGTATAGTTTCATTTGAGTGTTGAGATTTTGAGTGGGCAGACAGTTCTCCTTCGTGACCAAGCGAGCCTTGTTGCAAATGTCCTCATTTGTGTCCGAGTCCCATAAATCCTCAAATGCTGAAATAAGAGTTCTCTTCTCACTCTCTGAAGCATGGCCCATAAATTCATCTCCCGAGTGTGACATCTCAGCGAAGACACCCTCATAGCCAAAGCATTGATTACCTGTGAAAACATCTCCGGAGAAATTGACTTCCGGAATTGCAATGTCATTAGCCTTCTCATTATCAATAGGTCTAGCATCTCGATTGCTCATAAAAGATGCGAGCATTTTTTCAAATTCTTTGAGTAAGAATTGGGAAAGCGAATCCACCCCATTAGTCATAGATTTCTGAATGAAATACTTAAGGGAGTCAAATTCCGATATAAGCGCGGAGCTACAGGTGTTCTCGACATAATGTGGCGCCGGTGATGGCCCAGATGAAGTAGAAAGCTCAATATCGACCTGGAGTAAAGATCCCGAAATAGAAGATTCATTCCAGTGGGAGTGATTCTTATCCACCCAAGGAGGAAAAAGATCCATCTCGGAATCTGAAAGCTGTTGAAGCACCGGGGTTTGTTGCTTGGCTGCCATTTCCCTCATTATAATAATTGCTCTTGAAATCCCAGTTAGAAAACTTTTAAAACCCAATCCATTTTGTCCTTCGGGGATAAATATTGAATCACACCCCTTTTCAATGATGCGGATAAAACCTCCGTAAAAATTGGCATCATAGAGTACTAAAAAATCATTGAGCTCAACCTTAGGACATAACCAATTACTGCAAAGCTTGGGAATAATCTCGTTCAACCAAGAGATTTTTTCCAAATCCAGATCAATAGAAGAAATCATTCCAAGTTTGCTTTCAGAAATACGAATCGAATTGCAATCACAAATATGGAAAACAAAGGATTTGCTTTCAATTGCAATTTCAAACCCATTTGAAAGAGAAATGAAACTGTGAGCCGAATTTCTATCCTCCATGCGTTGATTAATCCTTTCATACCTGGATTTGGGACGAGTCTTGTGTCTGACCAGTCGCTCACCAGTGGAGTGATGGTGTCGCAGCAGCTTAGGTCTGTTCGTAGGTCTGTTCGCAGTATCATCACCGACCATGAAATCCCATCTAGTCTCTCGCTCGTCGTCCTTGACACTGCCCCATCGTCCGCAAACCGCTACAGTTGTCGGCCTCGCCCAGAGGTGATTCCTTTTGGTCGCACACTGTTGGGGGTCAGTCCTCTCTGAGATGAGCTTCGGATTTGAGGCCCTGTCGTCGCTAGTAATTTGGTCCCGTAAGCTCAGGGCTGGTGGGTCTCGCACAGACGGCACAGTCACGTTCTTCTGTGTTTGAGTCTCCCATGTCCTTGACTGATTTTGGATCTGGCCGTCGCCTCCATTGGATATCCTTCGAATTGAAGATGCTATTAGTTGCAGGTCCCCTTCTGATAAGGCAACAGTGTGCGACCAAAAGGAATGTTGATATTCTATTGCTTGTGCACACAGATGAAATAAAGTAAATGTGTTTTGCTATTGCCTGTCCACAGACGTTTATATATTTAATAATCAATTTTTATATATGTGTTCTCTCATACCCGGATAACACTAATGTAGATGGTGGTACACCAGACGTCCATGTAGAAGTTGGGATGTTGTTTGCGGGAAAAGATGAAGCCTATGATCATTATAAGAATTACGCCAAACGTATAGGTTTTCCCATTAGGATTAGGAGCTCAACGAAAGACAAAGAAGGAAACGTAACAGGAATGTTAATTGAATGTGGTCGTGCTGGAAATAGAGTTTCAAAGTCAACAAATTGTTTGATGCCTGCAGCTACTAGTGCAATGGGTTGCAAAGCCCGAATCAAAGTAATGTATGACTATGCCGGGTCATGGGTTATTTCGAAAGTGCATGAACAGCATAACCACCCTATGAGTCCTACCAAAACTAGAGCCTTTCGTTGCAATAGGAGATTGACTATGAGCGTGAAGAGAAAAATTGCAATAAATGCTGTTGCCGGAATTCCTCTTCACAAAACCTACACCTCTGCCGTAGTAGAAGCGGGCGGTTATGAGAATTTACCGTTCATTGAAAAGGATTGTAGGAACTACGTTGACAAGTTTCGCCGCTTGCGTTTAGGAAATGGTGATGCCAATCCAATTCAAAGTTTCTTTTACAAAATGCAAGCGGAGTGCCCCAGTTTTTTCTTTGCCCTTGATGTAGATGATGAATCTCGCCTTCGCAATGTCTTTTGGGCGGACAAGCGATGTCGGTATGCTTATAGAGATTTTGGAGATGTGATAACTTTCGATACAACTTATCTCACCAATAAGTACGACATGCCCTTTGCACCTTTTGTAGGAGTAAACCACCATGGGCAATCCATCTTGTTCGGTTGTGGCTTAATTTCAAATGAGGACACCGCCACATTTGTGTGGTTGTTTACAACGTGGCTTGAGTGTATGGATGGATGTCCTCCTAGTGGAATTATTACCGATCATGATAGGGCAATGCAAAATGCTATTCAAATTGTGTTCCCAAATACAAGACATCAGTGGTGTCTATGGCATATAATGAAGAAGGTGCCAGAGAAGATGGGAGGGTTGACTGATAAAGATGAAGTTAGTGAGTGTTTACATGATGCTGTTTATGACTCCCAAACAGGTGCACAATTTGAATTCGCATGGAGTTCTATGTTGCAAAGGTAAGTTTTTTTTTTCAACTTATGTTCAATATCACAACTATCGTAATATTCATGGTTTGTAATGTGCAGGTTTCATCTTCATGACCATGAATGGCTACATGTGCTTTACAATGAAAGACATCGGTGGGTGCCATGCTACTTGAGGCCAACTTTTTGGGCAGGGATGTCAACGACCCAACGGAGTGAAAGCATTAACGCCTTTTTTGACGACTTTGTTCATTCTAAAACAAGTCTTAAGGAATTTGTTGATCAATACGGGCGTGCGTTGAAATGCAAAGTAGAGAAAGAGTTCCAGGAGGATGCTAAGTGTCTCACCAAAATGTTACCTTGTGTGAGTATATATGCCGTGGAACATGAGTTGCAACAAATGTACACACTAGCAAAGTTCAAGGAGTTTCGAGCTCAAATGGTCGGGAAGTTGCATTGTGACCTGTTAGGGTGTGAGGATGGTATACATTACAATATCCGTGAAGACAAAATGGAGAATGGTTTTTTTTTTCAAAACAGTCCATGCTGTGGTTGAGTACGATAATTCTATCCCTAATTCTAAAGCCGTGTGCACGTGCCACTTATTTGAGTTTAGAGGGATTGTTTGTAATCATATCATAACAGTCCTTGTGCGTAACGGAGTTCACGCCCTACCAGAGTGTTACATCATGCAAAGGTGGAGAAGAGATATCAAAAGAGGATACACAAGAGTTAAAATTAACTATGATGGTTGGATTACGACTAAAGAGCAACAACGGTTTGACAAGTTATGCACCACATTTGAAAGACTTGCGAATAGTGTGGCTGATGATGATGAACATTATGAACGCGTCTTGACATGGCTTGAAGGTGAATTGAAAAAATGCAACATGTCAAATGCTCGTTCATCAATTTGTGGAGTTATGACTCAATTAACGGACACCCCGCCAATCCAAGTCGTGGGCGTGAACGGACAAACAAGTGTTCCTATTGAAGATCCAAACATGACAAAACGTAAAGGTGCTCCGAGAAAGAATAGGCAAAAAGGGCCTATTGAAAAGGGGAAGAAAAAAGCTAAGGTACATATATCCATTTGTCTGTCAAACCGGATCAAATTGTCTGGTCACAGACATTAACCCACTGGAACCCCTGGGTCACCAAAGTGTGAAATGCATGTCAGACCATGCTACTTTGTCTGGCCACAGACATTAAGCCACTGGAACCAATACCTTACCCAAGGTATACATGTCTGTGAGGCCGGAGCAACATGTCTGGCCATAGACATTAAGCCACTGGAGCCTATACCTTACCCAAGGTATACATGTTTGTGAGGCCGGAGCAACATGTCTGGCCACAGACATTAAGCCACTGGAACCTATACCTTACCCAAGGTATACATGTCTGTGAGGCCGGAGCAATATGTCTGGCCACAGACATTAAGCCACTGGAACCTATACCTTACCCAAGGTATACATGTCTGTCAGGCCGGAGAAAAATGTCTGGCCACAGACATTTATCCACTGGAACAATTACAATGCCCATGGTCTAAATGTCTGTGAGTCCGGTTCAAAATGTCTGGCCACAGATATTAACCCACTGCAACCAATAGATTGACCATGGCATAAATGTCTGTGAGCCTGGAGGCAAGTGTCTGGCCACAAACATTTAAAATCTGGAACTTCAAATTTCCTATCCACTCATATTATGTACTATTGCAATGTATATCAGGGGCGGCCTAAAAAGCAAGCTGGGAAAGCATCATCGGAAGTGGCCGGACAAAGCAACGTTGAAGAGGTAGTACCAAGAAATGTTGCAGCCACCAATTTAGAATGGATGTATAATGATGACTTAAGCTTGAACCTTTCTTTGTTTTAGGCAATTACAACGCTAATAATGACTCAATTTTTGTATCATGACAATCAATGACATTTTGTCACATACTTTGCCATAACTATATTCTAAATGTCACAACTTATCACATATTGTCACAATATATGAATCACCACAACATCCACAAATTGGCAATGCTAGAAAGATTTAAATATTGGAATGTTCACATCCAATACTCTACCAGCATATACTGCAAAACCAGAAGTTGATATACATATGTTTGGTTTAGGGATTACATAAAAAACATAAGCATATATATAACTACTTCGGGCATATCATGGACAAATGGTTACAACAAAAAATAAGTACTTTGGTTTAAGTGTTTTTCCCATCATTCACAAGGACAAAAATACATATATGGACAACCCTCATACTTTTCAAGAATCTTCTACGCTTTCTTCATGAAACCCCATAGGCGTACTGCGAAGTTGTTTCGTATTGTGCGGCAGTTGTCGTACTCACACCCGGGTGTTAAGAGGAGGTCGTGCATCAAATGTTCAGCAAACGCCATAACCATAACACCGCATACTCCACTCCTGCACAAAAGTAATAATGAAGTCATATATACATATACGATTCCACCGGAAATCAAACACCATAACAATAAAGAATATTTATCAATATTTTTTTTACCCTATTCCTTGTTGTGGAACCCCATCAACAGCCACTGCCTCCCATGGTCTAAGGTGTAAGGGACGTGGGAGGTCATGTTGAATCTCTTGTACTAGATAAGGAAGCCTCGAACACAAATCAAATGCATACCATTTACTTCGGGAAGTTTTCATGGAATCATAAACTTTAACCACGACCTCCTCCGAATTCACCTCACATAAGATCCAGTGTTTATTTTCAACATTCAACGGAATTAAAACCTGAGAATGAATAAAGTATGAGTTGAAGATGTCTGTGTAGGATTGCAATAACATGGCTTAATTGTATGTGGACAACACAATATACTACCTCCGTCCCGAATTGATTTGCAAATTTGACTTTTCTTGGTCAAACAGTTGCGTTTTGTTCACTTAATTAGGTTGCCAATTTTTAATTATATTTTAATTTGTAGTTTACAACTTTGAAGAGATTTTGATGTAGTTTATGAATATGTAAATTTTATTTATTAAAAATTAAATTAATTATGCATAAGAAGGATTGACTTTTATTATTGGTTGACCAAAAAATGTTGACTTTGAAAAACAAATTGGGACGGAGGGAGTATGTAACAAGCCACACCTTTGACAACCCACGCCAGTCAATACGTTTCAAGAATCTGTCTCCACTCCAATCTTCTAGCTTGTCAAATCTCTTCTTCTTCAATTGATTCTGCATTTAAGCAATGATAGACACAAATTGCTTTAATATTAATGGCAGACACCTACACTACACTCCATAACATGTGGATGTTAGAGATTACCACAAAAAACATGGAAATTATTTCACACTGTTGACCCTGAAATCTTTGGCTCATCAACAGGTTGGTCAGGGCATCAATGTGCTGCAAGAAATTGGTTCAAATTAAGGAAATTAAGGATTAAAATGTCTGTCCAAACACGTATGTACTGATCCAGGCACATAAAATGTTGAAGCATAAATGTCTGTGCGCACAGGGATTTCATATTAATGTCTGTGCACACAGGCACTTAGTAAAAATTACTTTATGGATATACACTTAACTTACCATACTGCTCAGCCAATCCTGTGGAGCAATGAGGTCACAGAAGAACTTTCTATCAACAGTCATATGGATTGGCATGTCTAACATCACACACACCGGTTCTTCAGTAGCAGGGGCTTCCGCCCAAGTCTTGAGCTCATTCAACAGTTTATCTTCTTCTGAAATGTCTGTGTCCCTTCCAACTTCGCTTCGCTTCACCCGCTTAGCAAATGGATCCATGAAAGGGCTACTATGATACTTTGAGACAAACCTCTTTCTTTTTTTCCTTTCATAGATGGCAGGTTGGGCTTTGGTTATTTCAACTTCATCTTGAAGCACATCTTCTCATTCGACATTTTCACAAGGCGTTGAGGCAGTGAGTGATGCATCCAAAAATGCATCTTACTACGAAATTGAAAGAAAATAGATGCTTACACATGTGCACGAGACAGGAACACCAATGTTTGCACACACACACTTGAAAGTAAACATACTGATAACAACTTAACCTTAGGCAGTGGTGACTCACAATCTCCTAAGACCATATCCACGTCTTTCAACTGTGAAATAGTCAATGTTAGTTCACATTAATGAGTGGTCCAAACAATTACTATGTCAAATTATTATGCACTAACTTCTTCCAAAAGAAAGCTTATGAGGGTTGATTTAGGCAATTTGGGAACACTGCGGTCAACAACTTCAACATCTTTCTCCTTCAAAAAAACAATCACATGTAAGTACAGACACATTCCAAATCACCTTTCCGCACACTTAATTGCAAAGCAAGCGTACCTTTTCACCGGTGACCACAAGTGCCATTAGGGCCTCACTTCCCTGCTGATCTTCATCAGAGTCATGCTTAATTGGGGACAAAATGTCAACAATTTCACAGACAATTCGAAAATGACAAAACATTGGAACGTTAGTTTTGGCAATCATACTTTATCTGCAGTTACGACGTCCGGAGTGCCATGCTCACTTCCCTCATTGTCTTCCTCAGCCTGTAAACCACAAACATCTCAAATTATTTAGACTTTCACTATTTCACATACAGTGTGAACTAAGCACACATACATTTACAGAATTCTGTGCAGACATTTACAACTTACTGCACAGACACTTTAAATGCGGTGCACAAACATAAGGCAATCATACTTTATCTTCATTTACCACTACCGGAGTGCCATGCTCGGTTCCCTCATTGTCGTCAATGAATTCATGCGGGAAATTAGGCTCTCCACATTGGACTTCATCCGCTTCCTCAGACTGTGAAGCACGACGACATCAAAATCTTAGTAGTTTGTCATACATTATGAACCAAGTACACAGACATTTACATAAGCGTATACAGACATTAGGCAACCATACCTTCTTTTCAGTGGCCTCATCCAGAATGTCATGCTCTCTACACTGTGTATAATGAACAGAATCATGCTTATCTTTCTCCTCATTGGTGACTTCCTGTTTCGTGAGCACATTAAATAATTGTGTAGACAGTTACATGTAACTACACAGACAATAAAATTGATGCACATAGACAGTTACTTCACAGACAATAAAATTGATGCACATAGACAGTTACTTCACAGACAAAACTAGTAACATGCACGTCCATTTTTAATTCATACCTTCTCTTCAGTGGCAGCTTCCTGTTTGCCATGCCCAACCACATCCATCAGCTTACATAACATGCCTTTCACCTCATGAAGTGTAGATTGAACCACTGTAACACTTGTCCTGAGCTTGTCCATGTCATTCCTTACATGTGCAAGTTCTTCCATGACCTTCAATTTCTTAAAAAGTTTGACATCCACATCAACAGCCCCATCATCATCATCTCCATCATCTTCTTGGATATCATCTTCTTCGTCAGATTCTTCTTCACCATCTTCCTCTCCATCATTGTCATCATCCTGCAGTATAAATTGAAATTATCACAGTTGAATCTGTAAAAATGGTTCATGCATATTATGCCCAAAAAATTATAAAGTACTTCTTACACTTTCTTCTAAAGGCTCGTCGGTAAATACTAGTTCCTTCAAAGAAGAATAGTGGAAAAACCCAACAGCTTTCCAGTTCAACATGCTAGCTTTTTCAGATTTCACTTTTTGGCCGCATTTCCCTGCAAGTCCAGGGATTTTCTCATACGCCCACACCTGTGAAACAACCAAAGAAATTCTTGGTTAAAGCTAGTTAAAGACATTTTCTCATACGGCCACAGACAATTTCAGATTTTTACACAGACAATTCTAATAACACACAAACCAAGTTAAAGTGAACCTGCAAGACGTGGGGTAAGGACCAAACAGTGAACTTAGCATTCTTGTAGTCAGGCTTCTTAGCTAATGAAGCTTCAAACTTCTCCGGTTGACCACGCATCAACGACTTCATGTTGCTCACCATAAGCTTATAAGACTCGAGTGCCCAAGGATACTTTTTGAAGTTCTCAAAGTCTTCGACCCAATCAAAATGATCAGCATTGATCATTGTACCGTGGTCTTTGGTAAGCAACACACCATCAATGACGAAAAGGGAAACGAACTTCAAAAATGCTAACGGCTCAATCCTCCTCTTTGGATTCAATGCCACCATTGTTTCCTTCAGATCTTGGTAAGTCACACGCTTCTTTCCTTTATAGAATATATCAGCCACACTACCTTTCTCCTTTTTTTTAACAAATCTCGGTCTGGTGGTGTACGCGGGCAAGTTTGTTATTTCACAGAAATCTTTAAAAGTGAACTTAAAGATCTTCCCTCTCATTATATTGAAAACCAAAGCTCATCCTCAGGTTGTTGCTTAACCAGCCGCAACAAAAGCAAATGCACAATCTGGCCAGAAAATTGCAATTCTGGAGGTTTAGCAAAATGACCCCATGGAAGCTTTTTGAACTCCTCCCTTTGATCGAGGGGCATGGAATTTAGCAAGTCACCCAATTTCCCAAAAAAAAAGTTAACTGTGAATACTGTGCCGGGAAATGGGACTTAACGGGAACCATGAGTGCATGCTTTTTCCTACAAATAACACAAATGAAGTCATATATCTACACAGTCATGACTTACAACAGATTCAATTCTACACCCCATGTTCAAAATCCAAAATAATGGCCCCTTAAGATACCGAAACCCCTTCTATGTTGAACAAATTGAATAATTTAAGCATATACTTCAAAAATACCGTACTGATTACACAAAATTATTTATTATCAAGGAACACAAACAACACATCACAAACTACGGACAAATGAAGTCAAATGTAAAATCAGAAAACAACTTCAATCATAATGAATTGCATAACCTAAACCGTCTGGCCACAGACATTATCAGTCCATCCCCCAAACAAATTAAAAATCCTACAATACGGCCCCTTAGGGTTCCCAAACCACCATTACAGTGTGCTTCTCACTTCATGAAACTCATTGTTCAAGCGTATACTTTCGAAATACCATAATGATTTTATATAAAAAAAAACTAGAGGCACAAACCACAGAATAGGGGCTCAAAATCAAGAATACTACTCAGAAATGTGTTCAAGAAGAGGATATTACCTTCTATGTGAAGCCTCGGCCAACGATGACAGTGACGTTCGGACCATTTCGGTGGTGGGTTCTTCAGGGGGGGCGCCGGGGTTCGCAGTCACGCCAGGAGACCGGGGATGCTTCGCGATGAGGATGGTGTGTGCGATACGAGACGACTTCAGGGGATGGAAGTGGAGAGGCGAAGAAGAAGACAACCGTGGGGGGAGATATGCACACAGAACGAGAAGAAACGGCGAAGAAGAAAGGAAGTGGAGTGGCGGGAGGTTTGAGAAGAGGTTCACAGGTGCGGAAGAGAGGTGGGGGAGGGGGTAAAAAATTTATTTTTGACCTTTTATATGGTGTACAAATTGTGTACATCTAATCTAATGTACACATAGCATTCCTTTTTTAGATACTCTCTCCTCCCCGCCGGACAACTTTCAAAATCTGTTGTGCTACAGTTCCCTCTCTCTGTAATTCTCTGTTTCTGCCAAACAAAATGGAAATCGAAAATGCAGAGGAAATCACGGAGGAGCAGAGAAAACGGGCAGAAGCAAACCGGCTATCAGCTTTGGCAAAGCGCAAAACCAATGAAGAAGCTTGGAAGCTTTTGAAATGTCCAAAACGTTCGTCCAAATCCACTCCATCTAATGTCATTTTGTACAAGCCCGATCCAGCTTCTGCTTCCAACCCGCTTCCGAAGCCCGAGTCGTCGTCTCCCCCTCTCGAAAGATTCCGGGCAAGGCTCGAAATTTGCGCTCCCGACTCGTTCTCTGTCACTCCTCTGCCATTAGAGGGTGTTCCTTACCCAGGCCAAGAAACATGCTTCGAGAAGCTTACGGAATTGCTCTCATATGTAACAATCAATTTATTGCGCCCCGTTCTTATGTTGTTCTGCATGAAGAAAATTGAATTTACATTTTGCAAATACGCCAAATGTTTTCTTAATAATCTTGACTAGAGAGGACAGTTCTGAATAAAAAATCACGATGTTCAATGATTGCCTATTAATTGTTGGGGATTTGCCCATTCTCCATATTAGAAAACGTTGGCTTAATTTTTATGATGGTTGCTCATTAGGGTGATATTGCTCTTCCTCATAATTCAACTAGATGATGTCACGATCTCTCTACCAGTTCTGACCTCACAATTTGAAAAAATAGGATATTATGTAGTCATAATTATCTGCAATTTCACATGCTAGGTTAAGTGTCATAACTCTTAATGTTAGCCACTTGTGGATTGGTCAATTATTCAACAAGTTAATCAAGAAAATCTATTCCAGAAATCCACAATCAAGAATTGGGTGCAAGTAGCGGTGTAGCACAGTCCTCAACATATATGAAGGATGTTAAGAATGTCTGTGTTAAACTGTTTGGAATTAATCCCATTAAAAGGCTCATTTTTATAGGCTTGGAAGCTAAACAATGCAATTCCAGTGCCAAATGACCACTACGCTTTTAGGAACAACATCATATACTCCATATATCACTAGACTTCCCTGGCCTATGAGTATTGACAAGTCGACAACTAGTTCCTGTAATAGTTTTTTGACTTTTCTCTTGTTTGAAGTTATTGAAATCTTAAAGGATTCAGGTCTGCTGTTCTGTCTTAGGTTGTTCCGTCACACTACACTCAGAGTACTGGAGGTGGAACGGGTTGCGTGTATAAGCTTACAGATTATGAAGCAGTGCTAAGGTCCATTAAGGGTTGTAAAGATGTTGAGTGTGAAGAAATACCTTGGGGAACACTCAATGTAGTTGAAAGACTTTCACATTCTGATAATCCTGTGAGATGGATACCTTGCAGGCCAGAGCATCTAGCGGATGAGAAGGTCAATGAGTTGATTAGCGGGCTTCCTAAAACATTGTTGGACACTCTGCTACCATTTCAGTTAGAGGGCCTAAGGTTCGGGCTGAGGAGGGGTGGTAGATGTCTCATCGCTGATGAGATGGGGCTGGGCAAAACCCTCCAGGTAACAATGAAAATGTAATCCAGTTTTTATAGTTAGAGAAATTTGAATGACATTTTAGTTGCATATTTGATTTTAAATTTGTAGATTGTATTAGAAACTCTTAATTTTAAACTTGTCAATACTCTATGACTTATTTATTTAGATTATACATGAATCTTGAAGTTTATTCACACTTAACTGTGGTAGAGGTAATAAGCTTTCATGATTGGGATTATTGTCCTATTAAAAAAATCTATGCTCAGCCAATAGTGATTCTATATGGACTTGTGTAAGCGACATAATAGTAGGTTTTTTGTTGTGGAATTATAGTTGATCTTTAAAATCTATAGCCCATGTATATAGAATCTCTTGGAGGGAGTGTGCCATCAATGGACACTTTGTTTCCATTTTCAGGCCATTGCAATTGCAAGTTGTTTCATGAATGAAGGCCCGACTCTCATTGTTTGCCCAGCTATTTTGAGATACTCATGGGCAGAAGAATTGGAGCATTGGATTTCTTGTTTGCCTTCTGATATCCATCTTGGTATCATTTAAAGCATACATTTTTTTAATATATATTTGTATATACTTTTCCCTGGGATGTGCTTTGGGTCTGCAGTGAGCTTAAGACCTAGGCGTGAGCAGAAGTTGGAGATTTAGAAAATTAAAATACCGATAAGTTATAATAATGTTGAACAATTTATGGATATAAATCTTACTCATCTTTGTTAAACTTATTCCTCGCTCTTTGACAACCACATTCATGTGAACTTTGTTACTCCAGTATGCTAGGCTGTTTTTCTGTCTTCAACAGTTCCACGAAATATGCCTTCTTAAATCAGTTCATTTAATAGGTTTCACCCCTTAAGGTTGAAAACTACTGAGTACTGACATATAAACAAAGTAGTTATGTTACATGCTCACATTCATACATTATAACCTACATTAAGTTGTTGGTGCTTTCAACTGCACAGTTGATAATGTTCTGGGCATTCAATTAAAATACAATGTTGCAACGTACATTACTTTTTACTAAAATAACAGTGCACTACTCGTGTTGATTTTTGTGTGTGTTTTGAGTACTCTTCTAGAGATGTTAAAATATTTTGTTGATTATTATGAGATTTACGAAAATGTCACCGTGTTTTTGCTTTAAAATTTCATCTCGTCCATTGAATTTATAATATCAATGACCATGATTAGTTCTTACTTTTGCACCTCAGAAGCACTTTTTATTTGAACAAAACTCTATATATATATATACACTCATACACACACTTAAATTGAAGACTCTATTTAAACACTGATTAATATTAATAGTAATAATATATTGTCAAGACTCAACGTAATTGAAGCTATAAAATAAAACATTTAACATATTGTAGGTCGAATTCCAAAGGCATAGATGATGACCTTGTAGGGATGAAAAAACACAAAAGAGACTAAGATGTTTTAACTTTCAGCGCATTTGTTGGAGTGTCTTCTGAATTCCTTCATGATCCATTCCATGAAATAATGAGAGCAATGTCGGTACAATGACTTGGGATGGAACTCCACTCTCTTTCCATCAAAGTGATCAAATCTCAACTTACATCCTCCTAGGTAACTGTCCGGTCGGTTATGGGGGCCCCTCAGGGATGGGGTGTCATCTTTTTTTTTTATAAGAGCAATGTCGGTATGGCATGAGAAGATGGCAGCAAGTATAGCTTATGATGGAACTATGGAAGTAAACCAAGCCGTCTGCCGTCATGGAACTTTCAATCATTGCAAGTGACCCTTCCACAACACGTTGTCAAAGCTTTGCTATCTCAAGAGTGGCAAATTGGATTGCACGATTTTCAGTCAATAATGTGTTGTAGGGAATGAACATGGTTGCTACTGTACCCATAGAAAGGGGCGTAGGAAACGGTGTTGAAACAACCAGGTTTGTATTCCACTTGGAAGGAGAACCCCATGAATTTATTGATCCAGTCATGTTGGGGAGCACTCCATCATTTGAAAAGGAGCCAAAGACTCACTATTTTTTGGCTTGGGAATATGATGGAATAAAGCAAAATGACTCACTAAACTGTCTGTTCTTCTTTGTTATGAAGCAACAGTCAGTCCATGTAATTCTCGATGCGATTTTCACTATGGGTCATCTGGAAACAGTCTCTTTGTGCTTTAACACAGGGGTAAGAGTAGTGTAAGACTGCGTACATCCGACCCCCTTTACCCCACCGTAGGTCGAAGCCTTTGCGGCACTGGGGTAATGGCAATGATGATGATGGAGTCATGTTGGGGAGAGGTTGTATGTTGATGATTCAACAAATACTTCAAACTTCAGTGGTCAGTGCGAATCAGAAACTCTTGTCCCCATAAATATGGGCACCATCGACTATACCTTGGTGGGTCCTATGAGCTCTTGTTTGTAAGCCCCTAATTTGACATGACGTTCAACGATTTTTCAACTAAAGTATGCAATTGGGTGTCCCTCTTGTTGTAACACTGCACTAAATCAAGTCCCAGATGCATCACATTCAGCAATGAAAGTTTTGTCAAAATTTGGTAATTGAAGGACACGAAAGTAGAGAGACATGTTCTGAGGTATTGAAAGGCAGTGTTTGCCTCACCAGTCCACACAAAGGTGTTTTTCTTCAATAGTTGGGCTAGCTGGCTTGTAATCTCACCATATCATTGGATGAATTTTCTATTATAATCGGCAAGCCCTAAAAAAAACCTAATAGCTGTAATATTTATAAGAGACGGCCAGTTCATGACATCTCGGATTTGGGCTTGATCAACCTCCACTCTGCTGCTATAGATAATGTGGCCCTAGTATTGGTCTTGAGTTGCTCCGAAGTTGCACATGGATTTATTTAAGAAAATCTAATGATTCTCTAGTTGCACATGGTGCCCCACCCACAATTTTTTGTATATGAGAATATCATCGAAAAATACTAGGACAAATTTGTGTAAATAGGGACCAAATATGTCAGTTATCCACTTTGGAACGTCGATGGTGAATTTGACAAACCAAAAGGCATAACTAGAAACTCGAAATGACCATGGTGTGTTCGAAACACATTTTTCTCAACATCTTTAGGAGCCATTCGAATTTGGTTATAACCTGAACGGAGGTCAAGCTTAGTGAAGAAAGTCGCTACATGAAGCTCATCTAACAATTCATCGATAGCAGATATTGGAAACTTATCTTTAACTGTTTTAGAGTTTAGTTCTCTGTAATCCACACAGAAGAGCCATGATGAATTTGGTTTCTTAACCAACCATATGGGTAAGGAAATGGAGAGTGGCTTGGTTGAATAATCCCTTGTGATAGCATCTCAAAACATTATTTTTTGATTTCGTCTTTTTGAAAGTAGGGGTACTGGTAGGGACGGGCCACAACCAGACCTGCCCAAGGAAACAAGATGATCATGTGGTCATAAGCACAATGGGGAGGCACTCTGGTTGGTAGATT